TGTGTCTTCATTGACACCATCTTCCGACTTCATGGGTTGCCCCGTGAACTCGTATCAGACAGAGATCCACGATTCACTGCTGATTTCTGGCGTTCCGTGTTCAAATCACTCGGAACGCGCTTGAAGTGTCGACATCTGATCATCCAGAGTCAGATGGTCAGACGGAACGCGCCAATCGTGTCCTCGAAGAGATACTTCGAGGATACGTACACTCCTTTAAGAGTTGGAGTGAGTTCTTGCCAATGGTAGAGTTTTCCATTGACAACTCGGTGCATGCGTCCACGACACATACACCGTTTTACGTGAATGGCTTACGCCATCCGCGTGTACCCACCTTACTAGAGTGTGACTCTGGTTTAAGGGGGGAGAGACTCGCGCGAGCAAAAGACGATTTGGTTCACGCTCATCACGCTCTGACGAAGAGGTCATTGCGTTTGATGCCGATATCACAACATCGATATCGTAAAAGATGATGCCATTGAGAGCGAGGAAGCCCTCACTGAAGAAAAGATTGATGTTGCAGCAGTGCACTCACAGCGTACTGAAGCTAACGAGTCATCAGATGAGTTCATACTGGCTCGTGAAACGGTAGTCCGTTTTGTGCAAGACTCCATCTTCGAAGCGGTAGATAAGCAAAAGCAAAACGCTGACAAGAATGGAAGGGCAAACGCTCTTTTCTTCAATAAGGGTGACTTAGTCCTACTGTCTATGGTTAATCTACCAAAGCATGTAGTGACTAACTTGGGTAGTAGTAAACTACTACCCAAGCACATCGGCCCATTTCGTGTATTGTATCGCCTAGGCAACGCATACACGATCGAACTGCCACGTAATATGCGAACGCATCCCACGTTTTACGTAGGTCGGCTTAAGCCGTACCATCAGTACGCTGTTTATCCCGATGAAGAACGCCCTTGCGCTCAAGCATCTCGCAGAGAGCCTTGTGCTCCCGATGGTGGGCATCGACAAGGGTCTGAAGAGCAGTTATCTCAGCCCGAGACCGATCAACATCCCCACGAGCTACCCTTAGCTCGTCGCGCAGAGACGTCAGAGCTCTCTCGTTCTCAAGCTGAGCAAAGGCAAACTCAGCTCGATGCTTCGAGACAGTGTCCGCCAGTTGGAGACGCCTGTCCCGCTCATGTTCGAGATCGCCGCGTAACTCTTGCGTTACGCGATCAAAGAAGCTCTCGGGGATACACGCTTCCCCACGATAGTTTGGAGAGCGTTTTCCCTCCTCCTCCACCTCCATTAGAGGACTCTCGCGGTGACCAGCGCTATCTGGTTGAGCAGCTGTTGAAACACCGCGACGTGAACGGACGTCGGACGAGTTATCTCGTCCGGTGGCGCGGCTATCCCCCGTCCTGGGATACTTGAGAGCCCCGCTCCCAACTGATGGTTGACGTACTGGGTCTGGTCGAGCAGTACGACGCGGCACATCCTGTGCCGCAGTAGGATCGCTAGAGAAAGTCTTTTCGGCACGGTCGTAAAGGGATTTCAGGTTGTCAATCCCTTCGTACATCTCACTAGAGATACGTACGCGCCACCACGGGCTATTAGGGAGGTAAGCCTCCTTGAGTGCGCGCGCAGAGTTGTTCACACAACATGGGCACGAGTCTCCCCGGGAGAGACAGGGTAACCCTTTCTCCCTAGACAGACGATGTAGCTTGTAGCGTGCACCTTTCGGGGTTCGCTTTTCCAACTTATCACGAGCTTTGATAAGTTTGTCGTTCCAAGCGTCACGACCTACATCCTCAAGGTTATGGATGTAAGCGTTCCACGCTTGAAGCAGTGAGGGGCCATCACGTTTGTGATTCCCACTGTACCATCGATGCATAAAGAAAGCATCGATGAAGAAATCATTCTCAGTGTGATAGTCGTTCGCACTGGGGTCAAGGTGATGGATCCTTGATGAATCGAACAATCGTGTTCGATAGCGATCACTTGTCGTCGCCGACAAGCGATCCATGACTGACTTTGGAGGCAGCCATGCCTTCTTCTCGGGAGCGAGACGCCACACGCTGCGGTCCCTCTCTTCTTGCGACGTGCCGACAGAAGTACTGGCACCTCGTTGCGAAGTGGTGTCAATAGAAGAGCAGACATCACTGTGAGCGCCCGAGTCTTGCGATCTCGAGCGCCTTCGCTTTGGCGATGGTTCATCTGATTCGTCAGATAAACCAACAAAAGCTACGACGCGTAGCATCATCCATGCCACGCTTGGCAGGCGGCTTAGATTCAATCGCCGTCGATACGGATCCCTCTTCCGTATCAGGAGTGTATGAGACACCGAGCTCATACTCTGTGAAGACATGAGTGTCTTCATGACGAGCGCCTGCATCACCAGGTGACACAGGCTGAGACGTTTAGCAACCGATGACACATCAGTTGCTGAGGTTTCTGCTTAGGCGTCCGCATAGAGACGTGCGGACGCGCTCTCGGCGGCCTTGCTCGCGCACCGCATGGGCTTGTTAATCATGCGTTGAACGGTTGGAAAGTGGACTCGGACCAACAAGTGCAAACCCTGTCCCAAATGATTTTGGGACGAGTATCCATTTAGTCAATCAGTCACTAAAGTGACTGATGGTCAAGGGGGTGTGATGTAACGGGGTGAATCGTTACATAACAATTTATAAGAAATTGTTAATAGAATATAACTATAAGAGTTATATTCTCAGAATATTGTCATAAGGACAAATATTCTGTAGCACTTACGAGTAGTTCCTAATTGGTTGATATAGGCCATTATATCGACCAACGAAGACGCGCCACGACAGACCCACGCAATGAGTGGTGAGCAGATAGTTGATATGCACATTTGTATTTAGACATAGTTAGATGAGGATAAATAGTGGTTTATTAACAGACATGAACTATGATAAATACAGTTCTACTTTTTACTTAAAGTAAGTACTCGCTTCTTCTTACCGTCTTCCTCTGCACGTACGAGTGTACGTGAAGTATCGAAACGCCGCCTTATTCTGTTATCAGAATAAGTAGCTTGTACTGTCACCAGTACAAGCTTCAGGGTGCCCCGTAACACGAATAAAGCGTACGAAGAACAAGTCGCTCGCATCGATCGAGACATTCTGTTTGCAGACGAGCGTCCAATCCAAAGCACTTCCAAAAAGGTACCAAATATGTCACAGCAGAGCAGCATCCTGGTAGTAACCAGACGGTGATGCATTTTGTTACAAAAAAAGCATCATCCGCCTCAAGTAAGTATTCGTACACGCATTGCCCTTCTTTACAAACCCGCCACCTTCTCGCTTACCACTGTATTTCTCTACAATTCTTCTTATTTTGAGGAGTACTGAGTCTAGTGCAGCACGCTGCTGCAGAACTGATTTATCAACCAATGCTTAGTTGTCGGCGTTATTGCATGCAAGAATGTCTGGCAAGCGGCTTGCCAGCTCTGCCTTAGTGAAGTGCAGGATGCATACCGAACTTAATTATTACAGACACAAAGCACTGCCCAGATATGTCCCGCTGAATGCAACCCTTGACATACTCCAGATTTGCATTCTCAGACTGCAGAAACCGCAAGCATACCTTCACAGCAGTTTCTCCGGATCGCTTTGAGTTTCCAGGCCGCAGACCGGCTAAAACCAATTGAAGTCGGACGGCGCGCAAATGTGCAAATGATACACCCGTGACTTATGTTTTGTATTAACATCCACAAATTTGGCGAGAGTCCAGGCTGCGGATCGGCAAAATCATCTGAAGTCGGACAGCACGCAAATATGCTCTTGATACACCCGTAACTAAAATTGGTGTTAATCCACACATATCTGGCGTTCTCCTCCGACCCAGTATGTCGAAGCGGCAGGCGTACCCTACTTCCGTACCCCTGCACATTCATATTGGCCAAAATCATGATCAAATTTTCTTTGAATAAATATAAATACAGTGCTCAGATAGGGAGCAAGCTCTGGAGCTCGCCCGTTGATATAAGTAATTCAGTTCGGAGAACTGAATCAAGTTGCAAAAATTCATAACAGCAGATGTCACTGAAGAAGGCGTATGATTCTGTTAATGTGATTTAACCCGGTTCAGTATACTAGGGCAACGCGCTTGGCCTGTGCTTGTGAGTGTCCAGCTTTAGCTTATGTGATCATATTCATCTTTGATCGATTTTTATTCTAATCAGGTGCGTGCATCAAACTATTGACCTAGCCAGAGAGTGACATTATCATGCTCATCGACCTATGAGGGTGGCGGGCTAGATCATTTTTAGCACAAGTCAGGTACACCTAACCGCATTATTTGCAGACACACGTAGACACAGATAAGTGCGAATACAAAGCTCGGCATTCAACCTTGCGCACAGTCACTACTAGCTTCACCCTTCGGGCTTGCAATAATTCCATTCGCTCGACCGTCGCTTACAAACACTACGTCAGGTCGGAGAAGTGACGATATTCATTTCTACAGGTTGCTAGTCTGCTTTTGTGGGGGAGGGGCACCATCGTTGCAGTTCGAATACAACTCCGGCTCTTTGTTTTCACTGCAACCAGTCCAAAAACTGCAAGTTCTGATTCGTACTCTTCCCATGCCCTAACCGCTCGTATAAAGCCGAATCTCATACACACACACCCAAAAAAAAAGCAAATATAGATCAACATTATTTATTGTAAATTGAATGCGGATCTCCAATAATCGGACCGTTCAAGTTTAAGCCATGCTAGTCACAATAGCGCGTACCTAAGGAAAAAGATCCGTGACAACAATCCCTCACTGTCTGAACAAATCCACGACGCGTGGTTTCAAGCAGACAAGGGCTCCCCAAAATGTCCCACTCGAGCAAGATTAGGTCCAGTCTGGTCGGATCAAATCCCATCCCGCGCTTTCGTACCCTTTTATCGTCCCGACTTTCTCAATTTTTGCTCACTACAAAAGGCCTTTACGCAACTGTTTTCGACCTGCTCACGACCGGACAAGCAGGTAGGTTTCGGCAGTCCCTTCGGCCTGCCCCACGCGTTCCAGCTCCAGTCGCGCCTGCGAAGATGCTCCCGACCCCGTACTTAACCCTGACCCCCACCGCGTCCTCCAGCTGCAGTCGCCTTACCTGTCCCGCCAGTGATGTGCTGGCCCAGAAATGGGCAGCAGCTGCGAAGCGCAAAACGCAACTAGAGACTGCGAAAAACGAGGCGGACCAGGACAACGACTGGACATTTTCCAGGACGGAGACCGACCACAGCTCGGAGATTGGCAACGAGGAGACGCCAAGTACCGAGGAAGACGAGGACACGTCGACGTCATCGAGAGCGAGTTCGAGTTCAGAGGCGGATGCAGAGAACGAGAGAGGAGATGGCGAAAGTGAGGACGGGGAGGGCAAGCTAGATGTGATACCCACCTACGTGTGTGCACTGCACGACCCCAAGCCGGTACTTGTCGGTGAGTGCGTCGTGTCGGTTTAGTTGCTGAGGTATCTGCTTTTTTCTCGGGTTTTGTAAGCTTTTATTTATTGATGCTTGTTATTAATGCTGAACCCATCATAGCCGAGCAGATTCCGTGCAATCGCGTGGATATTCAGCTGTGCCAAGCGGGCGACAGCCTTGAAGGGTTGTCTGAAAACAAGGTGTTTCAGTATCAGATCTCGGTCGGACCGATACATCAGACATTTGCGTGCTCGCCGTCGAAAACGCTAAAAATGTTCAAAAAGTTGTCTCGAGACAAGACTTGTGCCGACCAGTTGCAGCTTATTGAGACAAACTGTTTGAAAGGTGGTATTCTTGGGCTGTTCAAGCGGATCTGCAAGTCGCCTGTTAAGATTTCCACGGAAGTTCGGGACGTGCTGGACGCTATGTCGGACATGGATACGTTGCTTACGAACTCGACGTATCTGGATCTCGTTGGAGCGACGAAGGGCTCGACTTTGTCTTGTGAACTGGAAAAGCTACTGGAGTCGCACGACGAAGTACTTCAGTCCGGCATACCGTGCATGTGCGATGCGTACTATGCATCTGTCAAGCGATACGGCGATTTCTTCCATCAGCAAGCACAGACAGCAAATCAGATTCGGCATTCAACGGTAGCCAGTGAGACGCTGTTGAGGTCTCGAGGTGTGCTTTCTTACTACTCGGATACGATCTACATTTTGGATAAGCGAATGTTTCGTCCCACGCATGGACTGAAGCAGTGCAGTGTGTACGGCTTCGGTCGCCGCAAACTCTTCGAGATCATGCGAACTTCTCGCAAGCAATGGTCATTGCGCCACATGAACTATGGCGAGATTTTTACGCTATCGCTGACGAAATATACGGGGGACGTGCACCACATGGTGGCAGTGAAGCGCATGGTGCCCGATGTGCAAAATGGCGGTTTACGGCAGGAGAATGTATGTTTTGTGAAAAAATCAAAGCGCCAGGGCTACCGCTGTTTGCTGATGTCGGAGGTAATCTCGCAGGGCAAAGTGACGACATCCATCTCGATCCAACAGCCCAAGTCGCCGCAAGGAGACCCGGACTTCCATTACATGACGATGAGTGAGGTGTCTGGTGCAAAACCTGCATCGGTATGTAGCAGCACGCTGACTGTTCCGTGTGAACGCTATAAGTACCTGCAGCGTCTGAATGTGAGTGGTGGCAGCGATGTGGTTATGTACATGGCAATTGCTGTGAGCTACGACATCCTTGTTGGCACGTTCAGCTACTGGATCGAGCGTAAATATTAGATTGCGGAAGCGTAGAAGTAGAAGTTGTGCAAATATTATGAATGTCTCGCATTGTATGCTAAACATTGATCCACCTGGTTGATACGCAAGCGCTGCGTCTCTAATTGGTCGCCTTATGCACGGGTTGCACAAAAAGCAGATTTACGGAGCTGGTGGCGCTCCGCATGTCACAAAATATGGAGCATTTGAGTGAAGTCGCCTTTTTGGTCAGTTTTCGCCGAAAGCATATCAGAGATAGCGAACGCGAGTCAAAATTGCGCCGGTTGAATCGCCGAATTGGAGTCGTTTTAGCATCGATTGACCGCACAAATCTTGTCGCTATGCATAGCTTTATCGTCAAGACAATTCACCCAAACTAAACCAAGCGCCTGTCAATACCACTAGTTTGCACCCCTTCTCGCGTCATTGATCGTGCAAATCTCCATCGCTCCCACTTCTTTATCGTCGAGCTTATTCTGCTGAGCACTTTCTGTTGTTGAACCTTCATGACAGACAGGAATGTATATTCGTGTCGTTCCCTCGACCTCTATGTAGACATGGCAAACATGACGTCGGCGTCCATTGATTCTGCAAAAGTTGGCTGATGGCAGTGATGTTCAATAAAATGTATCGTAGTTGCCCTATCGCCATGATCGGGTTTTAGCAGACTGTCTAAACTCGGATCACGGATACTGTGCCCATTGCCGACTATTCCAGTTAGCCGTCTGAAGGTGCCACGAACGTCATCGCTTACGCAGAAATACGTACTCCGATATCGGAAGCCATTTTTGTATTCAGGTCGATTGAGACACTGCTTCTATTGCGTGAGACGTAGTTTTTACCAGGAGCTGGTTCAGCCTTTTGTAAACGCACCAAGGAAATCGTTTCTACGAACAAGCACGCTGGGCACTCGTTTGTCAGTGCACGGCCATGGGAATTGTGCAGTGACATTAATAAGCTACTTCTCACATCGTATTGTAGTAACGGTCACTGAATCCCTCGGAGTTAGGCACAGTTCGCTACTCAACGTCTCGTCTCCTTGTCTCACGGCTCTGTAGGTCGAACGACGAATAAACCTGTGCTGCTAATGCATCATCACTCTTGTCGATGCTGTGCCAGAATTCTTCTGATCATCCGGTGCTTCCAGTCACAAGGTGCGAACCATCGTCACCGATCGTGTTATCATCGCTAGAAATCTCAAAAGTGTGCAATCCCTATACTTTACAGAGTAGTTGAGAGCCTGAAGTGTACAAGTAAGTACACAAGTACTCGAACGCCTTCAAGGCAAACGCGAAACGTCGTCGATAAGGAATGTAACATCGAGGCCAGTAGCATTGAGTCTGCTGTATGAACAGTGTAGAACGACAAAGCCTTTACAAAACAGGAGGATTGCGAAGAGGATACTGCGGCTGGGATTGTTTTGGCCAGCAATTGTTAAGAGGCTTCTGAATACGAGAGATCACAACTATCGTCAGCTGAATGATAGGGAGCACCAAGCAGTCGACGCATTTGACGCTATTGCCATACATTTGTACCAACTGAGAATCAGCACTTGCGGTACAAAGCGCCTGTCAACAGGTAAAAGCCACGATCATGTCAGTAAGGCATGAATGAAGCAACAGCATTTTTTTTACTACGAAATGTTGTCAGTGCGTGAGAGCCTCCCGATAAAAAGCGGTGTGCTCAGAAAAGCACACGCTGCAAGATACAAGTATCTGCAAATTTGCAGCAATCTCGTCGGTCGAGGCGTGCTGACCTTACGGATCGCTCATCATGGCCGCACAAAACGTAGTACGTCGTGGCTCGTCTCACTGCATTGTGGAGATCAGTCAGTAGTGAGTATATTATCTGCACATTGGCGCTCCGGTGACGTCCGACAGTTTGCAGGCGTTCATTATGCAGTAAAGCTGTCACCGAAACAGCTAGACCCTGCACAGTGGTCATAGTGCATGACGGAAGTCATGGATTGTGACGATCATGGTGAGCAATGAGGGTCACAATTGTTGTGTTTTACTCCTGATCATCAACTTCTTATGCGATGTAGTAGCGTCTGTGGTGGAACACACACGCTGATCTTCGAGGCACCACCTCCGAAATGACAACTTCAAAACGTGCGGGTAGTCGACTGAATGATATGGGCAGGAAGGGCATCATACTAGACACATCGATGGAGGGGTGTTCATACTCGGCATAGCAATGCAGGGTCCACCAAAAAGCTACGTAACGACATCCATGGTCGACTAATTACAGACCTCGCTGATGCTGGCACTACCAAGGGGTCGACCGCATTTCAGTATGCGACATGATGCCTCGTCATCTCGAGTTTACGGTGATTGTCGATTGGCTTCGTTTCTGCACCCATAGATCCAGTGCGGGGTCCAGCACTGGAAAAGCCTCGAAGGCTTGTGAGCAGGAAGCGTAGCAAAAAAAGGGATACGGAAGGTCCGCAGTCTACATATGCTTGCTGAACGGTGTGCAGTCTTTTCGGGCACCCATTATTGGCTGAACATCCAGTGAGCAGATGGCAGTGCTGCTCTTACAACTGGACGCTTACAGTTTAAAATGGGGCTAATACTGGATTTTAGCGTCAATTATATCAAATTATGGAGGAAGAGCTGTCAAGTGTATCGACAGTTCAGTCCTCTCCCGCGCTTTTATATTCGATTTCACAGATCCTTATGCTGCATCAGTGCAGCATAAGGACATCTGTAATAGGAAGGAATCCGACAAAAGCCAGTATAGAGGCAAAAGCATATGATAAGTAGACCACGGTTCACGTGACATCATGCCTTGTAGCGCACCAGATTACTGCGGCTGGGGCGCGAAGCGGGGCAGCAAAGTGCGTTCGTGGAAGAACCGGTACTTTGTGCTGCGTGGTCGCGAGTTGGTCTATTATTCTGGCGCCAAGAGCGACGGCAGCGGGGATGGCGTGGACGAGCGAGGTCGTCTGAAGGTGGTGAATGTGGACTATTCGCCCGACCGGAAGAACGGATTATTAATTGTTGGAGACAATCGGAAGAAAGAGTTAATGATGACAACGGCCAATATCGAGGAAAGTCGCGTGCTTTTTCGCAAAATTAAAGAAATTATTGGCGAACACGAGACGAGTTTTCGACAAGTGACGGCACGAAAGTCGCTGGAAGACTCGGTTGACAAGCAAGGATGGCTGCTAAAAACGGATCTGCAGTCCGATCCGACACGGCAGCGCTGTTATGTGGTGCTGCGTGGCAAGACAATTGAGTTTTACACCGCACCAGATGCTGCTCTGATTGATGTCCAGACGGTCGTGAAGGTCGAGGCCGATGCGAGCAGTTTGTTGTCATTGAGACTCATTGCTCGAAGGGGCAAAATGGTTCACGTGGCAGCGGAATCGAGGGTCGAGATTGATGACTGGGATCGAGCGCTTGCAGCCGCTTTGAGTTTGCCGTCGGTGCTGACGGAAGAAGCTGGAGACCGAGACAGTGTAATTGCAGATGAGACGGAGATTGTAGGTCGACAATGCTCGACAGCAGTGTGTGAAGGCTGGGTGGAGAAGCTTGGACAACGCAGTAAAGTGTGGAAGAAGCGATACATGTCACTGGCGAGCGGGATGCTCGAGTATCGTAAGGGACCCATCGAGCAATTATCGGCAGAATTGTGCGTGACGGATGTCCGATACAGCAGCAGGTACTCGAATGCACTAGTGATTGGGTTCGGCTCCAGCAAATCACCTAGTGACAGAGGCACTATTTGCGTACGTACTGAGTCAACTCAAGACTTGGACGAGTGGATGCGCGCACTATGCGATGCAGTAGGAAAACCACAAACTAAAGGGTTTTTTCGACAGTCGTCCTTGCTGGCGAGGAAGCGTGGATCGAGTAAGCCGCAGCTACCGCCTTTTCCAAGAAACGTATCCATGCACCAAGGCAACGATAAGTTTGGTGCAACCTCTAGTGCACAAGTTTGTGCCGTTGGTGATCACGTGAAACGTGGGTGGTTGTATGAGCAAGGTAGCGGTTCGTCGTCGTGGATGTTGCGGTACTTTGTTCTCCGCGGAAATGCTCTCTACCACTACGAGCATGTCAACGGGACATCTGAGACGCTTGGAAACGTGGCCAGTGTCAGTCATAACCTTGAACCAATAGGATCAATAGGTGTTCGATTCGACGATGGACGGAGCCTGAATGTCTATGGCGAAACGAAAGCTGATACTAATGCGTGGTATGCTGTTCTTTGCAAGGTTGTATGGGACTTTGAAGGGGAAACGGTGAAGGACCAAATTGTCCTCGACCGAGGAGACGAAGAGTTGTACGACGACAACAGTTTCCGCGGGTGGCTTTTGAAGAAAGGGCAAACTTTTAAAACTTGGAAACGGCGGTATTTCGTGCTTGAAAGGAGCCGTCTCGCATATTCTGCGGCTGCTGGTAGTGAGATTTTGGGCTCTGGTGTGGTATTTGAAGTAGACGTGGGAGACCTTCGTCCATTTTGTCTCAATATCCGATTCCAGAACGGCCGATTGCTGCACGTCGTGGCGCCAACCCAAGAAGCATTTTCGAAATGGCTTGACGTGCTAAAGAAAGCGTCTAACTTGGCCGAGTCATTTTTATCACAGAGCAATGGAGTAGCTGTCATCGGGGAAGAATTTGACAACGATGTAGAAGTGGGTGAAAATGTGAATGACGTCGGTGTGGAGTTCACTGCCGATGACATCTCTGAGTATGAAACTATTCTTCGTGACGGTGGCGGGGCCTCCTCGTGGATTGCAGCTATGCAGAACCAACCTGAGTTCGACGCACTTAGCTCGTCGTCTTCTGACGAATATGACGAAGCGGATGAGGTTGAGAATGTTTCTCGAGTAAGTGAATCGTCTCCGACATCTGTGAATGAATCGGTTGGCTGTGTAGGGTGGCTAAGAAAGGAAGGTGGGAATGTCAAGAGCTGGAAACGACGGTACTTTACGCTGTACGGGGCAAAGCTGAGCTACTACAAGTGTGAAAAGGGTTCTCTTTTGCGTTCTATGGATGTTGTCGGTGTCACCGTGCATCCATCCATGCCTAATGGACTAATGGTAGCTACAGCTAGTGGTCGAAAGCTAATAATCCAGGCTGACACAAACGTCGAGTTCGATCGATGGTTTACTGCGATTCAAAGAGCTGCGTCGAGAGGACACGACCGAAGGTCGACGGTATCGACGGCGCTGTCGATGACTGATTTTATGGAAACCGCATCGAGTGAGGAGGTGGTTACTCACAGTGGATGGTTGCAGAAGGAGGGCCAACGGTTCAAGACTTGGAGAAAGCGTTTTTTTACTCTAAAAAATCGTGCTCTGATCTACTATACCGAGATTGGTGGTGCCGCACGCGGGCACGGAATGGTGAAAGGTGCTTACCAGGACAGTTCTAGGCCCCACACCCTAGTGATCGAGTTCCGTAGCGGCAAGACGATGCGCGTGACGGCTGCGAGTGAAGCGAAAATGAATGCATGGCTCCAAGTGTTTTCAAAAGTCCGTTGTTCGGGTAGCGAGGCAGTCGATGGCAGTGACGTTACGGATGTGGTCGACTCTGACGAAGAAAGTGATATTGGAAGGGATGCAGCGCGTGTTAGTCGATTCAACGCGAGCGATTACCTCAATGATACAATCAGCAATGATACGTTCATGCGGCTTTGCGACGCAGAAGGAAAAGCGACGCTTTTAGAACCTCGCAACGATGCGATGAACACTTCTCGTTCTTTTAAGGGCGAGTTGACCTTTGACGAAGAGGAGGAGGAGAAAGATGATATGATGCTTAGTACTGCCGACGCAGACTACTACCGCAAATTGCGTGCTGAAGATGAGCGAATTCAGCGTTTAGAGGAAAAGGTTGCTAGCGGAGGAGCTCCGATTACTGGGTGTGCTCCATGCTGCACTGTGATGTAGCTTTCGGACCGTGGATTTGTTCTGCATTTACAATGCGTACGTTCTTGTACCGTTTGCGAATACACGAGATACAGAAGAAGGAAAGTGGATCAGTTGATGGTCGTGGCAGACATGATGTCCGACAATCAGTTGAGTCCGTTGTGCAATCGGCAAAAAGGTCGACCGATGAATGAACGAAAACCGAAGAATGTACAGGGCAATGCCGCGCCTTCGACTGTTCATCGAGACGTAAATAGGGTCTTGGTGTGTTCGCCGGGACCTTTTGAGCTTCGACAAGATCACGGTTCGTCACACTAGTTTGATCCGCATTTTCATGCAATGAGTTAAGCGTAGCAAGAAGGATCACGAGGACGTTAAAACTCTGCGCTGCATATTAGCGTCACTGAAACTAGTTAACGACGCGTTAAGCCAGAAAAGGGACCCTAAGGGTCGATCCTCCAATTCGTGCCTCTTAAAACACTACTGCAGTTCCTTTTCGTCTCAAACCCGACTAAGTCCGTTCTGAACTCGACATTAAGACGCTCATGAGTTTGAAGAACATGAAGCTCGACGATCCCGTGACGTTTGCCGGCTGGGTATTCAAAGAGGGCAGTCTCGTGCGGTCCTGGAAAAAGCGCTTCCTAGTGTGCAAGCGAGCCGAGATGGCGTACTACAAGAACACCGACAAGGAGAACCACGCGCAGCTGCTGGGGGCGCTCACGGCCGCCCACATTGAGCGTCTCCCGGACATTACGAACGGGCTATTGATTCACGGGACGGAAGGCCGGCAGCTCAAGATCTTCACCGATACAAAAGCCGAGTGTGATCGATGCTACGCGGCAATTCGCAAGTACTGCACAGTGCAAAACGATGGCAGAGGGGACGCTGATCAGCGAAAGGGGTGGCTCGAGAAAGAAGGGCAGCACTTTCGGACTTGGAAGAAACGCTACTTCGTTCTGAGCGGTAGGGAGTTGCGCTACTCGGCAACGATTGGAGCTGAGTCATTGGGCGGTGGCTGTATCACTGGTGCAAAACGAGACGCTACGAGGCCTTTCACGTTGGCAGTGACGTTTGAAGGAGGGCGCGAAATGCGCGTTGGAGGCAAGTCGGAAATGGACATTGACGACTGGCATAAGGCTCTGAGACGTGGGTTATTGGAAGACGAGCGTCAAGGTAAACGGCCAAAGGCACAGCGTGCGATTGATGATGACCCGAGACATGCACGAGACAAGGAATTTGCCAAACGACAGGCGAGTGCAGGGTCGGAGCGCGCGATGAACGCGTCAGTGACGGAAGACGAAGCAAGCTCCTTGTTCGACTCTGCCTCTGCTGGCATCGAGGCTGCGAAGGCAGCACTACAAGAGATGCCTGACACTGGAGGAGATGCACGTGGGGATGGCAAGTTGAAAGCGAACAATAGCCCGCCCGAGTCCTACGCTCCTAGCTCGTTTCGACGCCACATTGTGGTGGAAACGATGCCCGATAACACAGCCAGCTTTATTGAAGTAGCAGAAGAGCGTGGAAGCGAAGACTATGGCGAGAAGCCGTTCTCTCCTACTGCACCGGGTATCACTACAATCCGCCGGATGCGACTAACGGAGAAGCTATTGCAAGAAGAGCTGGAAGAAGAGCGTCGCGAAGCCATGATGAAGGAGAACACGGTGCTCATGCGTCCTTTTAGCAAGTCGGATGCCCCCGATGTGAAAAGCTGCTGCTGCGCTGTCATGTAAAGCGGTGTTGGTCGTCGCGAGGTGACGCGTATACAAGCATTTGGATACATGACCTCGTCAAGTTGAAGTGAGACGGATGCACGCAAGCTGAACCCATTTGGCATAAATACCGGTATGAGTCGTGATTGCGCACTTTATCGTAGTGGACTAGCTGGATTTTTTATCATCAGGTTTCAGAGGTACAGAAAAGTAACATCCGAATTTTGAGCAAGTCGTACAGTGATCTTTTTCTCGAGAATGCCCATTTAAATGGGCATTTGATAACAAAAAAGCTCCCACACTTTCAGTATGTGCAAGTCAGCTTCTCTACATCACATGAAATGAGATAGGGGAGCAAGCTCTAAAGCTCGCCCGTTGATGTACGTTATTCAGTTGAAAGAACTGAATCAAGTTGCAAATTATCAGACAACAGCAGCTGTCACTGAAGAAGGCGCGCATGAGCTTTGCTGTTAATGTGTGCATAAACCCAGTACAGTATACCTGGGCAACGGGGTCGGCCTATGCTAGTGAACGTCCAGCATTTCTTTTTGTAAGCACATTCACCTTCGATCGACATAGTGATAGAGTGATACCAATGATGCTAATCGAACTATGAGGGGGACATGTTCGATCGTATTTAGTATGACCAAGGTACACTTATTCGCGTTATTTACCGACACACACAGATAAGTACGGTTAAAAAGTTCGGCATTCAACCTTGCGCACAGTCACTACTAGCTTCACCCTTCGGGCTCGCGACAATTAACAGCTGGTAGATAAGCCGTTGTGTCGCACGCGCCACAATGTGACAGTAGTTTTGAATAGGCAGTCAACAGCTCGACTGGACCTCTTTCCATAAAAAAAAGGTCCATTCAAACATCCCTTTTTAGTATACGCGCGCGCGTCCGGTAACAAAAAGCCGCACGTCCCTGAGGTTCTACTTTGGCCTGGATTGTCGTGTAAATAAACCCCGAAAGTCGCGCGTGGTCCGTCAAAAGGAGCTCCAGCGCACCGTCTTTCGGTCGCTCTCTCTCCCCCATCTTCGTTCCGACTACCGATCGCAGCAGCTCCGAACCTTCTCCTGCATTAGTTGCTCACAGCTTGGTACTCCTCACTAAAAATGTCACGTAGCAGCGTATACGGCGAGGGGTGCGCCGGATGGGTATACAAGCAAGGCTCGTTGGTCAAGAACTGGAAGAAGCGGTTCATGGTGCTGCGCGAGCGGCAGTTGACGTACTACGACACGGACATCGTGACCCCAACGGTCAAGGCAAAAGGCAGTTTCCAGGTGATCACGGTCGAGCTGAGTCCTGAGATTCAGAACGGATTGCTGGTGCACGGCTGTGGGGGTCGCGTGCTCAAGCTCTACACGCTGTCAGCTGAAGCCACAGGTGCCTGGTACAATCTGATACTGGACGCTACTATGCTGGCTCCACAGCAGTTTACGCCGATCCCTTTCGACCGGTTCTCGACCTCGTCAGCCTTTTTGAGTGCGGCTGAGAAAAGACTGAGTATTGACGTGGAAAGGAACCAGAGAGAGGACGAGGCAGCCGAGTTGTTGCACCGATTGGAGCCAGCTCCTTTGAGTATCAACGTGGGTACGAAGCAAGTGACGCACATGGGGTGGCTGAAGAAAGAAGGAGCACGCGTCAAGAGCTGGAAACGGCGCTACTTTGTACTGCGTGGAAGCGTCTTGTCGTACTTTGACTCGGAAGATACGGGAGCAGCGGCTAAGGGGTACGGTCATGTGCGAGCAGTGGAGATCGATGGCAAAGTGAAAAGGGGGCTGGATATCATGTTTGATACTGGACGATTGTTGCGTGTTTCGGCTCGAACCAGCACCGAGATGCAAGTCTGGCTGTCCAGGTTGAGCGATGCCATTGAAGCGACTAATATGGAGCAAAGCCATTTGCGGCAATCATTGGCGGCACATGCACCGCTGCGTTTGTCGTTCGTTGGTGTACCGGTACTAGCAAGAATGACGCAAGAATGCCAGCAGCACGACAAGCGTCATTGGAACGCAGGAATTCCTGAGCGGCATTCACAAGCGTTCGTACCGTCGAAACCAATGGGAGTGACAGCCAAAGTCCCCCGAACGCCGCAGCGACTGACTGTAAACAAAACGCACTCGTCGTCGTCTTCGGATGGGTCGTATATTCCATCGGGCCTGTCGTCGCAGATGTCGTCATCCAGCTCACACGACTACTCGAATTTTTCTGCGAGCGGCGCTTCATCAGTGGAAAAGCCGATGGTGCACACGGATGACGCTTCTGTCTTGCACTCGTCGTCAAGTTCCACATCTTTTGACAGCGACGTTGACTACGATAGTGACGACAGCGAAGGCGACTGGATTTAGGCAGGAGCTGTTTTACTTTTCGGTCGGCAGGTCCTGTGAATGCAGTCCAGGGCCATTTTTATTAGCGATCAACCCCGCCTCGAGTACTGGAGGTTGTTCGCAAGGCGGCCACGAGGTAGTGCGAGGTTTCGTTTGGACCGGTACGATCTCAATACGTTGCGCGATCGTATAATGAGTCGTTTGTCTTTCATTGCGCACCGTTCGAATCATCTTTGTACGTCTACAGGACTGGCGCACATGATGAGGTAAGGCAATCACTTCTAAAGCTGTGAGGTTCGTTTTGCGTCCCACAACATATTCAAGAGCAGTGACCGCTATGATTCGAACTGTGAGGCACCAACCGGTTGTGAATGCACGAACCAGTTATGATACATGTCGGCAACTCATCTCGTGTAGTGTTTCTTGGACCGACACATCGGTAGAAATGAGGTGCTGCGAAAAGAACCAGCTGCTTCATCCATCCTCGTCGACTCGCTTAGTATACGTCGCACATTCAATACACCCGACGTTGCCGAACTCGAGCACTGTCAATTACTTCTTGCAACTGTGCAAATGACATTGTCGTAGCATGTACGCCAACTATGCACACCACTTTGCTCTTACACGCCGATATTTGATTCCCAATCGGCCTGCTTATGGACGTCATACATCACAACCGCCTGGCTAACCGGTGTCGGATTCCAGTATTCGCGATTGGACTCTCTCAGGAGGGTCCAGGCTAAGTGAGAGACATCATAGCTAGAAATCATCCATCCTACGACTGAGTATACCCGTTAGCAGAAAGAGCGAGCGATTGCAGTGCATTGTTCGGTCAGATCGATCCATCCAGCTCACTAACGCCAAGGCTGCAAGGACAACACTGGCCGACAAACGTTTGCTGGGACGATGTTTTTCTGACACGTGACACTAGTCAGTTGTTTCAGCTGCATGATCACGCTGCCAGCGCTCGAAGTAAGACGATCCCACGTAACCCAGCCCAATCGATCGGTTCAAACAGTGCGCATTGAACACGTCTTCATGGCAGGGTCAAGCTTTTCTCGTCGACGTGTATGCTCTTTTTCGAATCGACGTTGACCCAGTATTCGAACTCTGCCGATGCCCAGGCGTTCGTGAGCACGGCTCCATTCCGACAGCAACAATTATCGAAAAACCATCGCTTCATTACGACATTCACATATTCATACCAGAAATTGCGTGTCTTCGCCCCGATGGATATAGAGATGAGCCAACCTTGGCCGCGCCATGTAATTCAAATCAATAACGTCAACGGCAACACATAGTAGTCCTGCTCATGCACGTCTTACACTCTGCGGCACGCAGCAGTATGCTGCATCCTAGCTTGATGTGAACACGGGCTCCAATCTCGCCATCACTTATTGTACGATCGTTTCATACTGCGTACATTGCAATATCGTTACAGACTTTGAGCACTTGGTGGTATTTGCATCGTTACACGTCGGATACACGACAGTCGAAGCTGGCAACGAAGACACGATACAGCTGCTCTGCAGCATAGCCAGAAGCCGAACGACCGCAAACTTAAAGTAGCGCTCGAATCGCACGTGTGCATGCATTCTTTTGCGCTCGCGTACTTACAAGTAATCCGTCTCAAGGATCCAGTGTAGGTTTCCGACAGCAAACAAAATGAGCTCGAAAGTATGCAGCTGGTCGTCGTAATATCCGCCACAACATCAAGCAAGGGCTCGAGTTTCGATGAGCAGCGATGTCAACTATTTTGAGTACCACGACCACCCTCATTGTCGCGATTGCATCTGTAACGACAATGCCCCTACCCGACATACCATAGCATAAGATCGCATAGACCCTTCATTACTCAAACGCTGGCACTAGATGGCTCGTCGGCATCGCCGTGGCTTTCATGCTGGCTAATCACACGACTAATTGTCCGTAACGTTTCCATAATTTCACGCTGCACGTCCCGTGTTTCCTGATAAATTTGTAAAATAGTCTCCGCTTGTTCCATCGGATCGACCGGCAGCAGCGGCAAACTTTCCGTTATTGATGGTGAAGATCCCGTGCCCTCATCCCTTATCACAAGATGCTGTGGTTGACGTTGCTGAGCACATGCATCATGTCCCACCACAAATTGCTCTGCTCGAAGTCGTTGGTGCCGCTGCTGCTGCTGAAGGTCTGAAACAAGCCCTGCTTGTCGTCTTGCTTTGTCAATCACGTCAATAAATTCCCGAATTTTTGCGTGTTCCTGTTGTAGCTTCCGTTTCGCAGGCGTCAGCGCCGCCATCGTCTTAACCGTCACTTGGTCGTGTCGGTCCAATTGTGGCGGCACACGCTGAGCCCTGGCATGAATCTCTCGCCGTCGATTGCGTATCAGCTTGAGAAACTCGGCATGTGTCAGTCGCGGCTCTTCTGCTGCCCCACCTTGTTTCAGGAATTGCACATAACTCTGCTGCAGAATCTGCTGCGTCCCGTGCTTATCTGGCAGCCGCCCGATGTCTCGTGCGTATTGAGCATAACGTTCGAGACATAGCAGCTGTAGCTGTTTGCTAAAGTTTTTGCGCTTATATCGCTGCGTTGTAGTAGTAGTAGTCGTTGTTGTTGTTGTTGTAGCAGTAGTCGTACCTTGTCTTGATCGTCGAGGGGCAATTTGCTGTTGCTCGATCGAATCCGCATCGATCGAGCTCGTTGCTGCGTGCGACGCATAGCCAAGATCGTCCTCACTGATCTTGGCAAAGCTGTCGTCGCCTAGCGCTGCTTTCCACAGCTCCACGTCCTCGTTGTTCTCCTCCTCTTCCTCCTCGCGCGCGCTCCTTGTTGTCTCCATGTTCGTGAATCGAAATGTGATGAAGGAAACGATCTCATTGGTCGAGCGGAGGGCCTCTTTCCCGCCAATCAGAATCAATCCAGACCACACCAAAGACGCGCACAATCCGATTTGCGCGAAAATGCAGCGGGTGGTCGCGACGCGCTGGCGGCTGGTGCCGCGCTCTTCTCTGCGCCCCGTCTCTGGCGCCGCTAGCGTCTCAACCAAGGCGACGAGCTCTTTCGCTGATGTTTTGTATGGTCAGGACACTGGCGTGCGCACGGTGCAGTTCAACCGGCCGGAGAAACTCAATGCACTGACGCTGCCCATGACGCAGCACTTGACGCACCGTCTGCAGAAGATCGAGGCCAATACGACGGTGAATGCCGTTGTGTTCTCGGGCAACGGGGGCAAGGCCTTTTGTGCAGGGGGCGACATCCGCGCCCTCGCAGACAATGGCAAAGATCCGGCAACGCGTCACGTTGCGCTCGACTTTTTCCGCCACGAGTACCGTCTGAATTACCTCTTGGCGACTACAGAGAAACCTATTATCTCGTTTCTTAATGGCGTCACTATGGGAGGAGGGGTGGGGCTGTCCATGCACGGCAAGTTTGTGGTAGCAACCGAGAAGACGCTGTTTGCCATGCCCGAGACGGCCATTGGTTTTTTTCCTGATGTAGGGGCCTCGTACCTGCTTCCGCGACTTGGACGTCGTCTTAGTGAAGGCCAAGACTATGTGGCTGATGTGCCCAAGTCGCAAGCTCTAAAAGGCCAGGGTGTACGTGCCGACGTCTTGTTGATTGTGAGGAACAAATGAGCTGATTTTTGCTGTTTGTTTGTGGTATAAATGCTGCAGCTAGGAACGTACCTTGCGCTGACGGGCGAACGTCTCAAGGGTCATGAAGTCATTGGTTTAGGACTTGCCACTCACTACCTACCGACGAGCGAGTACGAAACATTGGTGCACCACTTAACGGGTCTCGAGTTTGCTGAGCACGTGACTCAAGAGGAGCGTGATGAGATTATTCACGAGGCTCTGGAAGAGCTCGAGACGGATGAGGCCTTTCAAGAGATTGACCCTGGTACGTTACAGTCGAAGGTGGGACTGTGCCTTTTGCTGACATCGTGTGTTCGTATTTGTGTGCAGAGTATCTCGAGACGATTGAATCCATATTCGGTGCATTGAATGAGAATGACACGATGGAAGGTATCTACGAGCGTCTCGAGGTACGTTTGCAGGATAGCCGTTGGACGTGGTTGTCGATGTGTTTTTTGACACGCTTCCGTGCATTGTTCAGAAATTGAACACGGAGTGGTCGAACGAAACTCTGACTACGCTCAAGAAGATGTCGCCACTTAGCCTGAAGGTCACGTTAGAGCAGATGCGACAGGGAGCCGCGAAGACGTACGCTGAGTGCTTTCAAATGGAGTACCGAATGGCGACGCGCATGATGGAGAATCCGGATTTCTTCGAGGGTGTTCGCTCGGTGGTCGTTGACAAGGATCACGACCCAAAGTGGGCCAAGCGCGATATTACCAAGGTCACGCCAAAGGAGGTGGAGGCATTTTTTGAGCCTCTGGACACGGACCAGGAGCTCATTTTGTACCCGTCCGCGACGGCTGCAATGGAAAAGGAGGATTAGGACCCATCGCTCATAGCGTCATCACATCTTTTTCGTTAGAGCGAGGAACTGAACAACTACAGAAATGAGATGCAGCAGCTTTTTACACGGCTTTCAACGTTTACAGCTCCAGAGTTTGCTCCCCAATCTTATCGATCCTCACTTGAACTTTGTCGCAATCTTTTTCGGCACCACTTCCTGATTGCTGCGGTTGTTGTGAATTAGCGGGGTGTTTGAGCTAACTCGTACTTCGATCATAGACAAGGCGCGGCTTGTCCGTAGGTTTTCGACGCAATTCATCGCTAAAAATTAGCGAGCGATGTATTATTCATGCCACTCACGCGTACCCATACCGGTATTTAAAACGTAATCATACCGTCAATGCAACCGATATCCACGAACCCACGAGGGTACCCACAATCAAACCATCTAATCAATTTCGACGACTCTGTTTGATGCAGCAGTCCAAACCCTTGACAGCACGTTCCCTAACCCGTTTGAAGTACGTCAAATAAAGTCGCCACTATCCATTTCTATAAAACGCCAACGTCACGTCACGCACGCAATGTTCGCAGCCAAATATCTCCGCGCTCTTCGCCAGCCCCTCGTACGTAATTGTCATCGCGACTATCAACCCCTACTTCCTCCACTCGCTTCATTCTTCCATTCCCCTAACTGCGACATCTTGTGCAACAGCGTCACTCGCGATGGCAAAGCGCGCTCGTGAACGAACCAGTCGCGCCGATTCCCACGCCAGCGATGCGTAAGTTGGCGTTCAAGGACACACTGGAGAAAGCTCGGAAGCGTGCGATGGAAGGCGGTGGTGCTGACCGCGTGGCAAAGCAGCACGAGAAGGGAAAACTCATGGCCCGCGAGCGCATCGAGCTGCTGGTGGACGAGGGATCCTTTCGTGAGTACGATATGCTCAAGTCACATCGGTGCTTCGACTTCGGCATGGAGAGGCAGCAATACCCTGGAGATGGAGTCATCACTGGACGTGGTCTGATCAACGGCCGACTCACGTTTGTCTTCAGTCAAGACTTTACCGTCTTTGGCGGCAGTCTGTCCGAGACGTACGCTGAGAAGATCGTCAAGATCATGAACAAGGCCATGGAACTGGGAGCACCGCTTATCGGACTGAATGACTCGGGCGGGGCTCGTATCCAGGAAGGTGTGGCGTCACTGGCAGGATACGCGGATATCTTCCAGCTGAATGTTCTGGCATCGGGTGTCGTCCCGCAGCTGACAATGGTCATGGGGCCGTGTGCTGGAGGAGCTGTGTACTCGCCTGCTATGACCGACTTCATTTTCATGTGCCGTGACTCATCGTACATGTTTGTAACGGGTCCTGATGTGGTCAAGACAGTGACAAACGAAGAAGTGACACAAGAAGAGCTGGGGGGAGCTGCGACACACACAAAGACGTCCGGTGTCGCGCATTGTGCGTTCGATAACGACGTCGAGGCGATTCGTGAAATGCGCCGCTTTTTCGATTTCTTGCCATTGAACAACAAGGAGAAGCCGCCTGTGCGTAAGTCAGACGACGACCGTAACCGTCCTGTGCCTACGCTCGAAAGCATCGTGCCTCCAGACCCGAACGTGCCTTACAACATGAAGGACATCATCCACCAGGTCGTGGACTCGTTCGACTTTTTCGAGATCATGCCCGACTATGCAAAAAACATCATCGTTGGTTTCGGTCGCATGGAGGGCCGTGTGGTGGGCATTCTCGCGAATCAACCAATGGAGCTTGCTGGCTGCCTGGACATTAACTCGTCCGTTAAGGGTGCGCGTTTCGTGCGCTTCTGCGATGCTTTCAACATTCCCATTCTGACGCTGGTAGACGTGCCGGGCTTCCTGCCGGGTGTAGATCAAGAATACGGTGGAATCATTCGTCACGGTGCAAAGCTATTGTACGCCTACGCCGAGGCGACCGTACCGAAGATCACGATCATTACGCGCAAGGCATACGGTGGCGCGTACGACGTCATGAGCTCGAAGCACCTCCGAGGCGACATCAACTATGCGTACGAATTTCTGATCTCTTACTTGAGTTGGCGCAAGCATAGCAACTCACTTGTGTTTGTGCTTTTTGGTAATGCTAGGTGGCCGTCGGCTGAGATCGCCGTGATGGGAGCCAAGGGCGCAGTGGAGATCATATTCCGCGGACAGAACGTGGAGCAGAACACTGCGGACTACGAGGAAAAGTTTGCCAACCCCATGGTGCGTGTAGTTGTGCACAGGCTCAGCAGCTAATCCTTGCCATACGGAACTCATGCTGACGTCGTGTCAACTCGATGTCCTCTTCATTAGGTTGCAGCCCAGCGTGGTTTCGTGGATGACATCATCGAGCCTGTCAATACACGCCGTCACATCTGTGAAGATCTAGAGGTGCTGGAGACTAAAGACGTCAAGAACCCATGGAAGAAGCACGGCAACATCCCGCTGTAGGTCGTGTGTATGGAGCTGCTAAGTTGTCCATGACCAAAGTACGGCTTCCTCGTGTGACGCACCTGTCAAATCCAATACCCCTGGCATACCGATGACCAAATCTAGCACATCCTCGAACAACTGATACAAACCAGCACCTTTCACCAGTAAGTCCTCTCACTTTAAGTTTTACCTCGTAGAGCTCACCCGACCATCACTCTCGTCACTATTTGTGAACCCATGGCGAAATCGACCCTCTCGTCGCGCACACCACAGACCGTGGGCTCGTTCCTGCAGTTCATCAACAAGAGTCCGTCGCCTTTCCACGCTGTGTACGAGACCGTGCAGACTCTCGCGGCCGCTGGCTTCAAACAGCTGCTGGAAGAAGACTCGTGGGACGACGCGGTCGAGCCCAACGGCAAGTACTACGTGACGCGCAACCAGTCGGCCATCGTGGCCTTTGCTGTAGGCGGCAAGTACCAGCGAGGCAACGGGTTCCACGTCATTGCCGCCCACACGGACAGTCCGTGCCTGAAAGTCAAGCCAGTGTCCAATATCGAGTCGCAAGGCTGGCTGCAGCTGGGCGTCGAGACGTACGGCGGTGGTCTCTTCCACACGTGGTTCGACCGCGACTTGGGCCTGGCCGGACGCGTCATTGTGCGCTCGAGTAACTTGAGCTTCCAGTCGAAGCTCGTGCTAGTGGATCGCCCGATTCTGCGCATCCCTACGCTTGCAATCCACTTGGATCGCACGGTCAATGAGAAGTTTGTCTTTAACAAGGAGACGCACCTGCGGCCTGTCCTTGCCTCAGCTGTTCGTGCCGAGATGGAGGCGACGACAGGGGATGGCCAACAAAATCAAGTCAAGGCCAAGCACACGTCGGTCTTGCTGCAGCTCCTTGCGAAGGAGCTCCACGTCGAGCTGGACGAGATTCACGACTTTGAGTTGTGTCTATTTGACACACAGGGGGCCAATGTCGGTGGTGTGCTGGAGGAGTTTATCTTTTCGCCTCGATTGGACAACCTCTGCTGTTCGTGGTTGGCCACCCAGGCGCTGATCCAGTCGCTGGATACCCTCGCAGACGACGAGAGCGTCCGTGTGACTGCCCTTTTTGACAACGAGGAAGTGGGCTCACAGTCTCTCATGGGTGCTGGGTCGAATTTTATGCAGTCGGTGGCTGAGCGTGTGGCACAGGGGCAGCTCTGCGGCGCCGCGGCCAGGAAGTCGTTTGTCGTGTCGGCGGATATGGCCCATGGCGTACATCCCAACTACGCTGAGAAGCATGAGCAGAACCATCGTCCTGCAATTCACGCGGGGCCTGTGATCAAGTACAACGCCAATGAGCGCTATGCTACGAGCGGCACGTCGGCGTTCTTGATGAAGGAGCTCGCACGTTGCCACAATATAAACATTCAGGAGTTTGTGGTGCGTCAGGACACTGGCTGTGGCTCTACAATTGGTCCGATCTTGTCGACAAATACGGGCATCCGCACGATCGACGTTGGACTTGCTCAACTGAGTATGCACAGCATTCGCGAAATGTGTGGCACTGAGGACTTAGTACAGGGACTGGATTGGTTTACGGCTTTCTACTCGGAGTTCTCGTCACTCGATAAGTGCCTGAAGACCGATTAAATGGATCGAGTGGACCAGGATGTAGCATGGTGCGTCGTCAGCTGATGTGACCTTATCGAGAGGTTCGTTGCCGGGGTCAAGAGCAGCTATCTTTTGTCGCCGAGACAAGCTCCACCAGTCTAAAAGCGCTGTCGTGAGTCAGTAATGGTACCTAGTTGTACGATTAAAGTGACAGAACGTGCTTCTTCTCGGACAGAGTTTCCTGCGCTGCTGTGATGAGTGTCTGCTTTCATGTTACAGAACCAACCTTTTTTGTACACAAATACAGGAAAAGCCTCGCATGGTGCAGTATCGAGCCGCAATTGGAGTTAACACGGCTGAGTGAGTGGTTTGCCTTCCTTGCAATTCCACTGATGTCACTACTGATACTCGATGCACAAGCTCTGTTTGTACGACAAAAGAGAAAGCAGAGGTACTCATAGCCCTCATACTGGCACGCTCACGAATTCGCGGCATGCTTCGCCCACAGTAATTCCGCAACTTCTGTCAATTTCCAGACGAATCTACCGCCGCGCACGTGGTGGTGCATTCAGCACTACAACACAATGTGCCGAATAACTTAGTTGAATACAATCATGACGATGAACGCGAATGCTTCGATATGGCACCGATGGTAAAACTTTCTACTTTCGACACACGCACAGGAAATATGGCCAATGTCGACACTATGAATACGAGGAATAGGCATGATCTGATCAGGCTTTTGGCATAAAGAGGCGTGGTAAGGTCGAAAGATCAAGTCAAATGAATCAGGCGCCAATGCTCTCTGGAGCTGCCAGTATCGGTGTAAGCCACTTCTTTTACACGATTCCAGATCTGAGCATCGTGTTGGGACTTTCAGTCTGGGATATTGAACAGACGGGCGCGTTCAACGTACCACGCTCTTCTATTTTTAGGTACCACAGCCCACTTGGAAGATATGACGTACGGATATGGCTCGTTTACGAAGCCGAGATCTCATCCACCATTCCATTGTGTGATATCATCGGTCACATACCTTTGTTTGCCGACTTGTTTCAAAAGCGGAAAGGAAGTAATGCACAAGTTTGCACGAAAGAGAAGGTGTAAGCAAGATGATTTCCTTCTAAATGCATAGTTTCGACAAGCTAAGGATCATGTAAAGTTGGGATTAAGATCACGATACAGCTTAATGTTTTCCGCAACGCGCATGTGACAGTAACATGCTTTTTGTGCTCCTCCGTGAACAAGGAGAACGACAACATGTGTGATGATTCGACCCTACCTGTTCCCCATGGTGCACGATCTTTTGCATTTGAATTCGTCCTTCTGCTAATGCTTGAAAAGTACGTATTTTCCATGCTATATCAAACTACATACTGTAGGAGTTGCACCAGCCAGTGATGCTTACGGCAGGGTGTAGTGGGCTCGTTGGCGTCAGCTGAATCCTGTAGGCTGTTTCATGTATGCTACTGCTCAAACTTCGCAAGATTAAATAATTTGATTGAAAAGAAGGTTGTGGCACATACTAGAACAACAGAAACGTGTGGTGCGTGCAACGATGTCTTTTTCTAAAGGGAAATGCTAAACGACTGGGTTTATTTTTCATTCGGCTGTCATTCTGATTCGTTGTCAGAAGTAGCTCAGAAATACGCCCAATTTCGTCAGGAGTAGATCCCAATTCTATGTTGCAGTAATGAGCTCAATTCCGCGAGATGTGTGAGTATAAGTGTACGGTGCCTTTGGAATCCATACGACCGAGTAGTTCTGCGCATCGACCAAGCATGTTCTACACTAGTGTCACTGTAAGAACGTCGTATTGCGTGGCTTACGCAAGTTGTATCACATTGCTTTTTATACAAGTCAACTAAATTCTTAATTTGCGTCCATGCTGTCCACTACTCAATACGAAGATTTAACGAGTGCTTGACACATACCGTGATGCTGATGTTGGAAAGTGATAGCCCTTACCTAGCCGGGTACGATTTCTAGGCCGGTGAGGTCTGCTAGATAGTGCTAGATCAGTCCGTATAAGAGGTAGTTCTGGAATGTTCGATACGTAGGGAAACTTGTGACAGCGGCAGAGGCCGCTGCACTGAGAGATCTCAGTTCGCATTTGGTAAGCCACTGAGGAGGCCCGCCGCGGCGGACCGAAACGCGTATAGCGCGCGTCCGCAAGTAGTCTTTTCTATTATGTGTTCTGAGTTTTCTACAGCTGATGGCCGCCTCTGGCCAATGAAAAACTATACGAGAACGTCAACATAAGGCCTATTCTAGCACTGTTTGTTACCGAACAACTGATTATAGCTCCTGTAACCGAGCTTCGCAGAGTTTTGCCAGTTTACATTTTGTGTGATTATCAGTGAGCCGTCAGCTCTTGTCTTGTTCATAATATGAGAAGCCAAATATTCTCTACGCGCCGTTTAATAAGTCGAGCACGCGACGACCGGCCTAAAAGTGCCAGACAGTGACGACCTTCCCCATCGCCTACGCCCTCTTTTAAGATAGGGGAGCAACCTCCGGAGCTCGCCTTCAGAAATAAGTAATCCAGTTCGGAGAACTGAATCAAGTTGCAAATTACTATGCAGCAGCAGCTGTCACTGAAGAAGGCGCATGATGCTGTTAATGTATGCAGTAACTCAGTGCAGTATGGTAGGGCAACGCGATCGGCCTGTGCTAATGAGCGTCCAGCGTTTGCTTATGTGATCACATTCGCCTCTCATCGATTATAAGCCAATCAGGTACGTGCATCACAGTATTGACGTAGCGATAGAGTGACACCTATCATGCTAATCGACCAATGAGGGGGGTAAGGCTAGTTCGTATTTAGTACAAGCAAGGTACACCTCGCCGCGTTATTTACCGACACACAGACAGACGCACACCGCTAAGTACGAATACAGAGCTCGGCATTCAACCATGCGCATAGTCACTACTAGCTTCACCCTTCCGGCTCGCAATAAACGATCCAAAAAAATCTAAAGCGAATTTTAACCAAAAATTCATTTTAGCACCACCACCACGCGTCATGATTTCCACCAATCAACGTCTCGGAGCTCCCCATTTGCACCTCCCACCGCCATGCTGCGCCGCCCGGTGCTCTCTCCTGTCCGTCGCGCTCTCTCGACACGTCGCTCGACCCGCTCTGCTGCAGTTTTGAGCTCCATCTCCATCCCGTCCGTCTCTGCTAGCGATCACTACCAGCACCAGCACCGGTATCAGCACCAGCATCAGTACAAGCACCAGTCCCGACATCGCAGTCATCGTCGTCATGAGTCGAGCTCTTCTTGGCTAGCGGCACTCGCTGCAAGCACATTCGGCGTTTCGATTCTCTCTTTATCTTGCGATAGCTGCTCTGTGGACTGCTGTGGGATTGTGGGCGTTGTGAGCAAGACCCAAAGTGCATCAGATTTTCTATTGGAAGGCTTGACGATTCTCCAGAACCGTGGCTACGACTCGGCGGGCATGACGACGCAGTCAAGCGCTCCTATTCCTTGTACTAGTAACAGTACTGAGAATAATGGCGCTACTGCTGCTACTACCACCACAAAAGAAGAGGCAGCAGCTGCAGCAAAGAGAGCGGCAGCAGCGCCTTTGATTACGACCAAATTCGCTTCCGTAGTTGGTACGGCCGACTCCATTCATTTGTTACGGGAGACTGTGGACAGACATAAGGGGAATACTGCTGGTATTGCACACACACGCTGGGCGACGCACGGTGCCAAGACGGACTGCAATTCTCACCCGCATATGGACATGCATGGACGCGTGGCTCTCGTGCATAATGGCACGTTTACAAACTATTACGAAGTGAAACAGGAGTTGCTGGACGAAGGCGTTATATTTTCGTCGCAGACGGACACGGAAGTGGCGGCACAGCTCATTGGACACTTGATGGGCGAAGGGGCAGATCTGCTCACAGCAGTACGGCTAGCACTCAAGAAACTAGAAGGCACGTGGGGACTTTGTGTCATGGCACGCGACGAACCGGGCAAGATTGTCATAGCACGCAATGGATCGCCCCTGTGCATTGGATACGGATCAAATGAGATGTTTGTGGCATCTGAGACTACCGCTTTCAGTCGCTATACTAAGCAGTTTATCTCGCTCAAGGATGGGGAAGTGGCGGTGATTAAAAGCGACTCGGCAGAGTTAAACCCAAACGACGATGGCAAAGAAGAAGGATTCTTGCAGCGTTTTCCGACCAGTAGATTGGCCGTGGCGCCGGATGTCAAGGTGCGACTCTCGCCGGCACCGTATCCACACTGGACATTGCGTGAGATCATGGAGCAACCAAAAGCAGTGGCGGCGTCCCTGGGATACGGTGGCCGTGTGTCGGACGACCACGCTTATCTTGGTGGACTAGAAGCAGAGAAGGATCGAATGCTTCATATTAAGCACCTCCTTATTGCTGCGTGCGGTACCTCACTCTATGCAAGCAAATACGGCGCCAAGCTGATGCGATCACTGAATGCGTTCGAAAGTGTAGCCACAGAGGATGCATCAGAATGCACGAGTGATCGATTCCCGAAGAAGGATGGTGGCCTGCTCGTTGTGTCCCAATCTGGCGAGACCAAGGATGTTCACCGTGCTTTGAAAACGGCTGAAGAGCTGCAACCCGAAGTGCCAACGTTCTCCGTTGTGAACACTGTGGGGTCACTCATTGCACGCACGACGAAATGCGGCGTGTACCTGAATGCCGGTCGCGAGAATGCCGTGGCTAGTACTAAAGCATTTGTTACTCAAGTCACGGTCATGGGACTCATTGCGTCGTGGTTCGCGCAGAACCGTCCGGACGGTAACCGTTCCAAGATGGCGGAGCTGATTCAGAGCATGCACCGCCTTCCAATTGCGATTGGCATGGCGTTGCGCTCGCGTGACCAATGCGCAAAAATTGCCGACAAGTTGGTATCAGCTGAGCACCTTTTTGTGCTTGGTCGGGGATACGGTGAGCCTATTGCCTACGAAGGTGCGCTGAAGATCAAGGAGATCACATACCTGCACGCTGAGGGCTACCCTGGCGGTGCGCTCAAGCACGGTCCCTTTGCGCTTATTGAAGGTGCGAATGGTGGTAAGTTTGGTGCCACGCCGATCATCTTAATCGTACTGGATGACGAGCATGCCTCATTCATGAAGACCGCCGCTGAGTCAGTGCGCGCCCGTGGTGCACATACCATCGTTATTACTGACAACCCGGCGATGTGCAAGAATATTGCTGACGAGGTCATTCCAATCCCGGCAAATGGCCCCATGACCGCTCTACTCGCGACTATTCCTCTGCAACTTATTGCTTACGAGCTTGCCCTGCGCAAGGGTATAAACCCAGATTTGCCGCGTAACCTGGCCAAGGCGGTCACAGTGGATTAAAGTGTTCAGTCGCCTACCAGTTTGGAGTCTGTACACTTTGGTAGCTTGATGGTAGTCATCATAAATCTCCCTCATGTTCAAAGTTGTTGAGCAACACCTGACCACAGTAATCCTTGCACCTTGACAATCTGCACGTCTGTCTGTAAAAAATACGCCATGCACATATGGAGACAACATTGCATTTGCTGCCGGTCGGTCTTCATTATAAAAAACGAATGCCGTTACCTAAGATCCCTTCCAACTCGTCAAGTCTCTGTCGCTCGTAAGACGATGATGAAAGCAGTCCACGGTGTAGAAGCACAATATCAGATTTAATAGCCGACTTAGGTCCAGTTACCACCTTGCGTGAACAAGCGCCCCACCGGAGATTTAGACCTTCCACCATTTTACGAACATCGTCGAGTTAGCGACGCAGTTATTCCATCTCTACCACCTTTGACGTTATTACCGTTGTGTTCCCAAGTGGACCAACAACGACTCCATTAATGACAGCTATGCATCGACAAACTTTCGTAATGCACACCGCTAATTTCCAAAGTCCGTCGAGAAACAGAGCTCGTGCCTGCTGTTCGAAAATGAAACATCCGGTATTTCTTGAATTCCAGCGCTCGGACGCAACAATCGTGCAAAGTTTGAGTCGTCCAACACCGCGTTTTTGGCTCTTTCACTATCGGCTGCAGTCGTGGGAGCACATGCCTTTATGCCTTTTGTAATCCACAGCAGAGCCTAAGTCAAGTGTGGCCCCAACGACGTCAGCGACCCCTTCTGTTGATTGTTTCAGCAGACGTCCCACAAAAAGCATCGCGCTTGTCTTGTCACAGTGAGCAAAAGCTATTTCGTCACGGTCACGATCGCCATAGATTTGGTCATCGAATACATGTCCATTTCACTAATATCACATCGGCTGCGGCGAGTCGGCATCAACTCCGAATGACCTGACGAGCTAGATCAACAAAACAGAATCTTGCGAAGACTTGGTAGCTCCAAAATGAGCTCGGTGATTCGTGTTGACCCGAACCGTTCCGCTTCAGTTATAGTGGCAGAAAATTCAGGAGGCTACAATGCATTTTGCTGGCACGTACTGACAGCAAAACGTAGCTGAGGAACAAACGCGACCAGCTACAGTCGCCGTCATTTCCGAAACCAAAGCGGACCAGTCCCACATCGAACTGTTCAAAAACACGCTGACAAAGAACCATGCTCACTGAAGCACCAGCTTTATTCCGTAGACGTATACTCCATTTGCTGCGCTGCACCTCGAGCACACCGGGAATCGATACTAACATGAATGGGTAGACGTGATAGCGCGGTTCCAAAGGTACCACATTAATCTCAAACATTATTTTTCGTGTAGATTGAGCCAAAGGTAGATGAAACGCTGTGCGAGATAGAGACGGCACAATCTCCACCTATACACGACCACTGGAGTATATGTTCAGGGATGGATCGGCCATCTATGAGTAAGGTCTCATCAAACATATCAAATCAAATCAACGCCGACAAAACAGCCGCGCTAAAGTAGGCGACAAAAATCGCATCTGCGGCAGCAGGAAAAGAGAGTAGCCGAACGACAGATTTAGGAAAAGTTTATCCACCACATCTCGACACAAATGAGATACAGTACTAATTGCTGGAGGTTCGTGACAACAATGCCATTGCATTCTTGACGAGAAGCGCAAAATCCCGCTATTTAGTCAGCTCTAGTTGTCTGTTTGATCATTCGATGGCTGACGAATCAGCGGTGAGGCCAGGAGAGTCTGAAGCACGCGGGCCGCGGATGGTCGAAGACCGGGGTCATACTGGAGACACTCGTGAGTCAATCGGCGGATGATCTCTGGACAGGTGTCCGATACCTTCGGTCTCAACTTTCCTACAGCAACCTGTTGGACAATCATTGATTCCTCAAGACCCAACGTCTGGTACGGAATTTGGTGTGTATCCATCTCTGTTAGCAAAACACCGAGCGAGTAAATATCAGCAAGTTCGCTGTAGTCCTCGCCTAATATAATTTCAGGCGCCACCCAGCGAGCCGTGCCAACACCGGCCGTCATTGTTCGCGCCACGGTACGTTCACGACTTTCTCCGAAATCGGACAATTTTGCTCCCTTTTCTGAATCCACCAAAATATTACGTGACTTGATATCACGATGAATCAGTGCAGGCTGAAAGCTGTGTAAGTAATAAACCGCTTCGCACACTTGTAAGCAGTATGTAGCCTTGCCATTCTCCCAAGTCAGCACTGACGGTGGATTCGTCCGCAGAACCGACAGCAGGTCTCCAGAATCCATATACTCCATGACAATCTGAATATCGCTTAATTCATCGTCCCAGCAAGCACCGACCAGAGAAAGAATGCATCGGTGCGACAACGATGCTAGCAGATTCAGCTCCGTAACAAATTCCCGCACGCTTGTTCCTTCAACTGTGATCAATTTCTTGACAGCAACTAGATTCTCACCGTATAATGCTAACCAAACCTCGCCAAAAGCTCCCTTAGCGATCTTACGAGTGTAATTGATCTCATCGCTCGGAATTCGAACCACGCTGGCAGTGATGATAGAGCTTCGAGATTGATTGCCTGCTCCGGCAGGAAAAGTAGACTGCAAGCTGCTACGACGAGGTTGGGCATCGGACATCTTCTTGCCATGGTTCGAAAAACCGGCAAGTTGCAACAAATTCGGGATAGAACTGCGAGGGGTACGGCCACCAGCCACCGGAGGTCGCGGTTGTGACGATGCACGACCACGGCTTGCTGCCCTGTTGCGTGCCGGGACGATGTTTGCTGATAAAGGAGTTGCCATTCCAACCATGTTTGGCGAATTTGCTACGTAACAGCCACGGCTTTTCATCCGGTGGCGATAGAAGAAGAATCCTGCAGCACCAAGCACAACTACCACACCTAGCACGACAACGGCAATGACTAGGGTGCTCCTGCCGGAAGAAGAGTCTGAAATTTAACAAAGAAGAGAATTAGACAAAGATACTGGCGCGGCTTACCAACAACACATCAAATGTTCAGTACCTGATCCATCTAAAGTAGCTGCAGGATCATCAGATACACAGACCACCGAGTCCAGAACATCGGATGCGGTGCCACGAATGCAAGCGCTAGTGGTGATGCCTAACGTGCTATCGGAAGAAAGTCTCCGCAGAAAATTGTATTGTGTAGTCGTCACAGCCAAAGAACCAATGCTGTTGCCAGCCGTATTTCTGGACGTACCAAAAGGCACACATGTTTGTAAGTAAACCATTTCCACAATCAGCAAACTAACACCAGGTTGCAAACTCACAGAATGTTGAGATTGGTCATATTAAAGACGGCGGCTGGAAATTCGGTCAGTTTGTTGTGCGACAAGTCTCTGAAAGCACGAACCAGCATGGAAAAATGTTACAACCACCACAAGTTAACACAATGACAAAGAAAGGACCTTACAATGTAGTGATCGAAGGAAGTGCCACGTCGAATGTAGCGATAGAGTTGTCTGTCAAGTTTCTGCAACGCAATTAGCCAAGTAAAAAAAGCAGGTGCGTAGCATACCAAGCGTCTACACTTGAAAGCGCACGAAGAAATAACAGAATGCACGTACAGTGTAGTTAACCCCTGCAAAGCCTTTGTAACTGAGCTGTCCGAAGCCGTCACACTGGTCATTGTGTTCTTGTTGAGATTGCTGCACAACAACAACAAAAGAAACAAGCAGTTCAGTTTCAGCGCATAAACAGAAATCCGCAGATAAACTCACAGCGTCACCAAGTTCTTGTTTGCCAGGTTCCCCAATTGGGGCGGTAAGCTGGCCAAGTTGCAATTCTCAATCGTTCTACAACGTCCGAGAAAAGAAAAGAAACACAAGCACAGAGTTTCGCGTAACCCACCATCAGCTATTTGAAACAACAACAAACAGCAACAAATTGACACACAAAGCCCGCAAAGTCACCTACAATAAAGACACCGTAGTCGGCAAAAAGCCGGTCGGAAGTACTTGGAGATCCAGATTGGTCAAGATCCTGCACACCGTCAGTTACACACGTCACATCCTCACGTCAGTCAATTCCGCCGACCTCGCCACCGACAAATGTTCGTCTTTTTCTTCTTCTTTCCACTGACAATTGTTCCAACACCGTGGCCGTCGCAAACGCATTCGCGTCAAATGTCACAGCCTTCAGCGCGCCTTTCTGCACGTTCGTGTCATCAAACCCTGTGATCTGACTACAAAACATCCAAGCAAGACGTGTCGCACGTCAACATTCAACACCTACCCGCGTGTTCCATCACCCCCCCCCCAAAACATAGAACACCGAAATAAAGAACCCTTGACACAGTCGAGGACAAAAAACGTACATGTTCCGCGTCGTTTCAGTGTATACAACGCCAGCGACCGTGTCGAACGCGGCACTGGGAAAAGCAGCGGCATCACTGCCACTGGCACTAGTCGTCCACGTGTCCGACGGGGCAGGCTCTTTGATAAAGACAGTAAACTTCCGAGCCACGGAGTTGTACGCGTCCAGACACTGGTACGTGCACGTGGGACTGTGGCGCTCGCAGTCGTTGCGCGACGCTTCGCTACAACTGGACGACTCGCGGAACTGGACGCACGGGTCGCCAGCATCGCAGCTGTCTCCACACGACGTGAGCACGGCGCTAGCAGTTGGGTTCGTGCACCAAGACACAGAGGAAGAGGCGGCGGCGGTAGCGTCAGAGGCGGACGCTGGCGTTAATGGCGATAAAAGCGACGTGCTCAGTGGCAGCCACGACCACTGCAGGCGTCGCATGATTAAGGAATGATGGACTTCCCACCGTATGTATGATCAATCGATCGATGGGGCGACGACGAGGGGAAGAAAGCCAGCAGGGGACGACGCGATGATTGGCTGGAATCAGACGTGCGCGAGTCGGTGGGTCGGTCGGTCGGCGTGTCTGTCGATCTGTCGGTCCGTCTGCGAATATGTATACTTGTACACACCCGGCGGACGGCAACAGATGCAAGTATGCGATTCAGGGTTTTTTATGGAAGTTTAGAGGAAATTGTGAGTGCTGTAGTCGGGTGCGCTAAGCGCGCCATGTGCGGCGGAAAAACAGTTGGTCATTACAGATCCCGTCAATGTGGAAAAGGTGAGAGAGCCAGTGAAGTGTATGTCCGGTCACATTGTTCAATCGCGGTCATATCAGATATGCGCCCAGTACCGAGGTATGATGACCGCAATGAGATCGGGGAGCAAGCTCTGGAGCTCGCCCTTTGATAAAAGTAATGCGGTTCGCAGAACTGAATTAAGTTGCAACATACTATACAAAATCTGTAACGGGGTTGCACGAAATTATGGTACTTTGTACCAGAGGGGTTACACACCTGAGGTTACCCCTTTTTGTAGGTGATATAGAATATCTTATTGATTTGTAGGGGCTGACGAGTATCAGCCATTAGGTACGAAAGATCTTTGAGTAGGATTAAGATATTCTATAGGCCATAACAAAAGAAATAAAATCAGTTCCCATTTTGATCTGAAAGACACGTGGCTTGCGAGCCGTCTTGATCGTTGATCTCTGATCACTAAGAGTTAGCGACACCTCCTTGAGGTAGCTACTCTTGAGCACTAAGTGCTGTCGATTAACTGAATCGTTAGGTTCCCTGGAACAGGGATCTGAAGCTGTAAAGCTTGTTGACTCGTAAAGTCGTTAGTTCTTTAGAACTAAGTTGCTCGTAGAGCGTTAAGTCTTCCTCTGACGTAAGGAGCTGTGTAGCTCCGCTATACTTGGTAGCACTTGTAGTCAATCTACGCCTGAGTCTTCAAGACTGATCCTCTGGGAGGATGGAAAACCTCACTCCCCTATCTGAGGCCCAAAAGGTCGCGCTTGATAAGCTGAACGCATCTTTGGGTCCAGAGTACGTGGAGTTCCTTGTTTCACAAGGTCCTGAAGTGCTTAATGCACGTGTTGAAAGCTTCATGCAGTATGAAGCGACCCTTTTAGGGCAGGTCCAAGACCAAATAGCGTCGGCTATGCCTACACGCTACGTGTCTGTACCAGACGAAGAGGCTAAGTCTCGTCCACTTAGAGTAGAAGTAAAAAACTACTCCGGTAAGGAGGGTGAGAACCTCATCCTCTGGATCCGTGAGATCGAGATGGCCATGAGATCAGGTCTGATCACGCTTGACCATCAACAGGTCTCGCTGGCTATCTCGAAGCTCGATGGTAGAGCTAGAGAATGGGCCTTGACGTGTAGCACGTCGGTGAACATAGCGTTTCCCACATGGGAGTCGCTCAAGTTACAATTGGTACAGGTGTTTTCTCCACCTAACCAGGCTTACCGCGTGCGCTCACGCTTTCTTTCTACCCGCCAGGATAAGAATGAATTATCGGACTATGTCCAAGAGCTGCGAACGCTCATGGCTGCAATGCAGCCTGACCCTCTGCCTGAAGCAGTCCATGTGACTATCTTCATGGAAGGTCTACGTACTGGCATTGCCAGAACCGAGGTTTTTTGGGTTCACCCCTCTACGTTTGAAGAGGCTGTGAGAATTGCTCTTAATGCTGAGCATAACTTCAAGTCGGCCAGACTTAGTTGGAATGGATACAATCCTCGCTCTGTGAGAGCAAACTATTCGGGTACCACTGCCTATAATAGGCCGGAACCGATGGATCTCAGCTATGCTGAAGATGGAGGTGAAGCTAAGCTTCAAGCTGCTGAGCAGAAACACGTTGTTCGACGATGTTTTACGTGCGGAAGCACTAAACACTTGCGGCCTGGTTGCCTTTGCGTAAGCAACGCCAGGCTACGAGCCCACACTCGACTCCGAGTCAGAAGTCTGGCATGGCACGGGGAAATGCCGACACCCAGTAGGCACGGGGCGCCCTACTGGGAAAGAACTAGTTTCTGTTACACCTTTAGAAGGTAAAGGAAGGCAGGGCTTAGCTTCAAAGAGTACCATACCTACAGGTATGTTGCGTGGATACAAGTCTGGCTTGATGGTCGCCGAGGCGAAAATTAAGGGCTTTGAGAAGCCTTGGTCGATATTGAACGATTATGGAGCGTCTTGCAATTATGCTCGACGCCGTTCCCTTGAGGGAAGTCAGCGTTATGCTGAGGCGCTTACAGCGCATGAGGGTGATTCTATCACGGTTCGTTTAGCGACTGGAAGTCGCGTAACGGTGCCTAAAGTTCCATTGAACTTAGGTATAAAGTTTTTAGACTTTGACAGTATTGAGCGCTGTCTTGTCCTAGATTTGGACTCGAGATATGATCTCATCCTAGGTATGGCTTGGCTTGAGCGCCATGAGCCATGGACGTGATTCCTTTGATGTGTGTATGGTGGCACGTGAAATTACACCGAGTGCGGTCGGCCGTGAGAGCACCGCACTGAATGTCGGTAATGACATTTTTGACCATATGCCATTTAGTGTGGGCGGCCGTGAGGGCACCACGCTTAACGCCGGTAATGGCGTTGTTGGCGATACGCCGTATAGTGTGGGCGGCCGTGAGGGCACCACACCTAATGTCAGTAATGACACTGTTGGCGATACGCTGTATAGTGTGGACGGCCGTGAGGGCACCACACCTAATGTCGGTCAAGACAAAAGCTCTCGTGTAGAGCGTACTATGGTTGGTAGTAACCATGGGGACAATATTGTCCCGACCCTAAGGGGTGTAAGGTCTCGAAGAGACGATCGAGACGCCGGGTAGCTACTTTTAAGTGCCAGGCGTCCTCACAGTCACATAGTGATAATAGTGATACACTATATACACTTGTTAATGGAGTGACTGGTCGGGTTGATGGCAGTGTTTGCCTTGAAACCCTTCCATCCGTGGACGCTCTTTGTAAGTTAGACGAAATGTCTGATGGCGAGTTTAGCCATGCCTTGAAGGCAGGAGAGTTATCCGAGTTAGCGGTCATTAGACCTGATACTGAGTTGAACTCTTCCTCGTTAATGGATGAGTCTGTCCTAGAGGATACAAAGGCGGCACTAAGTGCACGAAGTGGATCTTCGATCCTTAAAGATCCTTTGGATCCGTTCTATCATTTAGTTAAGGAAATTCAAGATGTGGTGTGTCACAACCCACCTTCTGCCTTACCTCCCGATAGAGGTGTACGTCATGAGATTGACTTGGTTCCTGGAACTAAATACTGTGTAACACGGCAGTGGACTTTTCCTAAAGAACAGTGCGACATCATTGACGATTTCTTTCGTGCTAAGCATGCGGCTGGAATGGTTCGTGAGAGTAAATCTCCCCATTCAACACCGACATTTTGTGTCAGAGCCAAATGGCAAGTGGCGTATTGTGCATGCTTATAATAAATTTAATGCAGCCACTATACCGGCGCAGACGCCTATTCCTAGAAAGGATGTTCTTCAGAACAATATGGCAGGATGTACACTGTACAGTGCACTCGACTTAGTCGATGGTTATTACCAACTGCTCATGCGAACAAGCGATATTCCGCTAACAGCGGTGAGTACTCCGAGCGGTATGCTTTGGGAGTGGCTCGTTATGCCACAAGGGCTATCTAACGCGCCGGCTACATTTAACCGGTTGGTAACGCAACTATTCAGACCTCATCGAGGCTATGCACAAACGTACTTTGATGACATTTTTGTCCATAGTCGTGCAATGAATGGGCGATCAGATGTGGAAAATCACATCGATCATTTACGAGCGGTGCTCGGGTGTATGCGGAAGAATAAGCTGTATGCGAACGCATCAAAGTGCATCTTTGGTGCAGAAGAGATTCCCTTTCTAGGGTGCTTCATTGGGAAGCGAGGCCTTCGAGCGGATCCCGCTAATATAAAAGCCATAGTCGATTGGCCAGTCCCCAAGAACCAAAAGGACTTGCGTAAGTGGCTTGGCCTTGCCAATTACTTACATAAGTACAGTGCAAATTACGCAGATATGGCTCGGCCATTGTCCAACCTCCTTAAAAAGGATGTGGGTTGGTGTTGGGGTAACACCGAACATAATGCTTTTGAAGCAGTTAAGAGAGTCTCCTTCATGCGCCAATATTTGCTTTGCCCGATTCTGGTCGGCCTTTCAGTGTCGTCTGTGACGCATCTGACTTTGCCATAGGCAGTGCTCTATTACAAACAGATGTCGACGGACGCGAACGCGTCATCGCATTTGAGCCTCGACAGCTGAAAGCTGCTGAAAAGAACTATCCTGTTCATGACAAAGAGCTACTTGCTATGAAGTACGCTCTTGTCAAATTCAGAGTCCATCTGCTTGGCTCTAAGCCGTTTGTGATCTATACAGATCATGCGTCATTGCGCACTGCGACACAGTCGCCTCATCTCTCACAGAGAATGGCTCGTTGGCTTTCCTTCTTTGCCGAATATAACTTCGAGGTGAAGTACAAGCCAGGTAAGCAAAACGCTTTGGCTGATGCGCTATCGCGTCGACCTGACTATGAGCTTGCTCATGTTACGACTCTTTCGTCGTCAGTCACTGACTTAATTCGTGCGGCATATGCCAAGGACGATCAGTGTGTAGCTTTGCTACGTGCTCTTGGGAGCAATGAGTTTAAAGACTCGGACATAGAATTGTCGGCACGTTTACGTGCGAGGCTACATCGATATTCCATCGATAATGGCCTGTTGTGCTATCGCACGGATATTGAGGATAAGCCTCGTATCGTTGTACCTCATGATGAGGAATTAAAGTATCGGATCCTCTATGAGGCACATGATACTGCTTTAAGTGGTCATCTCGGTCGTGAGAAGACTTATAGCTCGGTGAGCCTAAGTTATTGGTGGCCCAAACTTTATAAGTGGGTGCGCACCTATGTGCGTACGTGCGAAACGTGTCAACGGGTAAAACCCTCGGCACATGCGGCGGCGCCGCTGGCTAGATTGCCAGTACCCAGTGGTTGTTGGGAGTCCATGAGCATGGATTTTGTGTTTGGCCTACCGAAAGATTCGGAAGGCAACACTGGTATTGTGGTCTTTGTTGACCGATTGAGCAATATGTCTCACTTAGCGGTTGTGCCGGATAGCATTGATGCGGAAGGTACAGCAAAGCTGTTTATCGACCGTGTGTTTCGCCAACATGGCTTGCCTGTGGTAATTATCTCTGATAGAGACCCCCTATATACTGGGAAGTTTTGGAAGTCTATCTTCAAGGTGCTTGGCACTCGGTTGGACATGTCCACAGCGGATCATCCGCAGACCGATGGTCAAACGGAGCGTGTAAACCGCGTCATCAACGACATTTTGCGCAGTGTTTGCGCTGATACGCCTAGGCGTTGGAGCTCAATGCTCCCTGTTGTTGAGTTTGCGTTAAATAACGCTGTTCATGCCTCAACAGGCTTTACTCCGTTCTATATAAACGGTCTCACTCACCCTCGCGTTCCGTTAACGCTATCACTACGTGAATCAGGGCTTGGTGGGGGAGAGGTTGCCGATCGGCTTGCTGATATCAGCCCTGCTACTGTTCAAAAACAGGTAGGCGAGTTTCTCGCAACGCGAATAAATGTCTTAAGACATGTGCGTGACGCAATGGCTGATAGCCAAGATACCCAAAAACAACAAGCTGATGCCAAAGGCAGAAATTGTATTGAACGTTATGAGGTCGGAGACCAAGTATTACTCAATGCTAAAAATCTACCTACAAATGTAGTGTCTGCTGTCTTTAAGACAAAGTTGCGTCCACGCTTTATTGGACCGTTTACGGTCACGGCCAAGAAGGGACTTGCGTATACGCTAAACCTCCCGCGCAAATTGCGCACACATCCAGTGTTCTACGTAGGATTACTTAAGCCGTACCGGGATCCTTCCCACGTGAAATTGGAGGCGCTTGCGCCGACGACAAGGGCACTGCCCCGGATTGCTGCAGACGAATCAGCAAGTCCAACTGAGCCTCGCTCCGAGTTTGAGCTTGCTTCATCGCCTGAAGGCGGCTTTGCATCGCATCCAGCATGCACTGGGACTTACCCAAGGCCTCTTGAAGACCCTTCACTTCGAGAACCAATTTCTCGTGGGCCTCCACCGGTACACCGGCCGCCACCGACTTTGCTCGATGAGCATGGGTGTCGTCAATTTCATGTCGAGAGACTACTGAAACGACGTCGTCAGGGCCAATACCAGTATCTGGTAAAGTGGCGTGGGTACCCTGAGTCTGAAAACTCTTGGGAATTTGAGGTACCCCTTCGGCAAGACTGCCCATATGCTTTGGAGGCTTTTAAGCATCGTGGCCATGGTCATCTCGAGACCAAGGCCGTTCCCCACCACTAGTGGTGCGGTTTGGCGGGTTGTTGGTCACAGACTGACCAGCACTCGCGGCTACCTTAGTAGCCGAAGCATAGCGCGTGCGCTTGCGCAATTGGCCTCTGGCCTTAAGCTTGGCATAATCATACCGAAGCTTGCGTTCGAGACGCACATCCGCCGCATGGTCACTAGCCCTTAGAGCAAAAATGTTGCTGAGGCGACGCACATAGTGCACCCAGTGAACGAAGGCATCGTCTTCTTCGCTCGCTGTCTCGCCTGCGAGCAGGAGAATGGGTATACCCTTCATCGGTGGAACCGGGGCACCACGTGCTTGCATGTCAAGGCGTGCCTTGTATTGACTTTGAGTCGTTAGGTGCGGCTCCAGGTACTTCTCACGAAGTGCCTGGCAGCTCACCACCTCCTCAGGAGTCTTAGGCCCATGGCCAATGACCCACGTTGCCAATGTTTGGCCGGCCGCTTGACGTAGACGTTCCTCCACACTGGGTGGGGTGAACACATAGTCACGCTGGCGTTCAAGGGTTGCAGTCATTTGTGCATAACGCTGAGAGTTTTTTTCTCTTTGAACAAGCAGTTGTTGTTGCTCATCGAGCGGGTTCGTGATGATAGTCTCATCAGACCCAGATGCTGCATGCTGCGCTGGTGGCGCGCTCGCACCTCCACGTTAAGCGAACGGATTTGGGGTGTTCGAAAGTTGTGCCTCAGGCATCAGTGAGCCGGACATTGTCCCTGTATCACCGCGGACACTGGTATCGCTACCATAGTCCACCTCTTCCTCTATTCCGAGGTAGTCACACAGAGCCTTTGACTCGTTTGGTGATGAGGACATCGTGCTGGAGCGTACGTTACCGTGAGGTTCACCGTACGCGCACTGTTCTCGCTGAGAACACAAGTTCGATTGACGTTTTGGCAAACGTCAGTCTGGTGGGGGAGGGTGTAACGGGGTTGCAAGAAATTATGGTACTTTGTACCAGAGGGGTTACACACCTGAGGTTACCCCTTTTTGTAGGTGATATAGAATATCTTATTGATTTGTAGGGGCTGACGAGTATCAGCCATTAGGTACGAAAGATCTTTGAGTAGGATTAAGATATTCTATAGGCCATAACAAAAGAAATAAAATCAGTTCCCATTTTGATCTGAAAGACACGTGGCTTGCGAGCCGTCTTGATCGTTGATCTCTGATCACTAAGAGTTAGCGACACCTCCTTGAGGTAGCTACTCTTGAGCACTAAGTGCTGTCGATCCACTGAATCGTTAGGTCCCCTGGAACAGGGATCTGAAGCTGTAAAGCTTGTTGACTCGTAAAGTCGTTAGTTCTTTAGAACTAAGTTGCTCGTAGAGCGTTAAGTCTTCCTCTGACTTAAGGAGCTGTGTAGCTCCGCTACAAGATCCGTCACTGAACAATGAGTACGATGCTATTGATGTATGTAGTTACCCAGTACAGTATACTTGGACAACGCGACCGGCCCTTGCTTATGAGCGCCCCGCATCTTTGTGATCACATTCACCTTTGATTTATTTTCAAGCTTATTCGGTGCGTTATCAGATAGTGACGTAGCCTTAAGTAACTTCGTAGGGGCCGACACAGTCGTCCCTCCATATAAGATTCTCTATCGAGGGATGATTTTCTGTTAAGGAACCCCGTGTCCCGCACCAAGCTGCGTCACTTGGTTTTTGTATGTCGACATTATAAATATAAAAAATAGGGTACTAAAACAGTGCGCACCAACCGCCAGTATCCCCTCTATTTTGGACTTACCGCATTCTCGCATTGCCTGTCATTTTGCACATTTGCTTCCGCTTCACCTTAAGCATGTCGGCAAAGCGAACGATTATGACGATGGAGAAAAAGCGTCAGGTGCGGATGCACATCACACGCAGACCAGGCATAAAACTGGCTAGATACAAGACATGGTCAGAGAAAGCTCGGTCTTCTAATCTACATAATGGCAGCAGAACGGAAGCGTCAGTCTCCAGCCTACATTTCCTTGCCACGGGCAAAAAGCGCAATCGAAAGATGCTGTTTTTTGCGTTCGGGGCTGCGTTTCTCGCATTCAATCGTCTCAATCACAGCAAAGGGATTCTCACAGATGAGCAACTACTAGAAGAAGGTCGCTCAATTCAAGCCGCTCACGAAATAAACGAGAAAAACCTGCGGATTTTGAATGGGTGACTGCACAAATTCAGACTCAATACGGCATCCAGCAGCACGTGCTTTACGGCGAGGCAGACTCGGTTAATCGCGTTTAACTAGCAGCGAATCGAGTGGAGATTAAAGAAATGATTGGACAGTATTCGCCACGAGATTGTAACGGGGTAGCCCGTTACATGAATTTGACACGAAACGGTTTCAATTGAAATATTGTCTAGTATGACAATATTCTACCGATATTATCCGAGATGGATAATGTTGAAGGAATATTATCCCCTTCTGTGTAATATGTATTCGCTGCTCCAAGATTGGCTGATAAAGACATATTAACCATAGATTGCCACCAATCGCTGCTAGACGCGCGCAATGAGTGGTGAGCAGGTTGTCGTCATTCGACGGCGTAGTTTAACATAGTTAGATAAAGATCAAAGTTAAATTGATAGCTTAACTATATTGATTGCAGTTCTCTTTTTACCCTTTACTCAAACGAGTCGTTTAAGTAGATTAGCTTCCTCTGCACGTACTAGTGTACGTGAAGTTTCGCGGCACCCCAAACAAAGGGTGCCCTGTTACACCTGGTAGCACTTTGTAGTCCGTCCAACGGTACTTAGTGTCCGTACAACATGAACATGTCGGAAGTAGAAGACGACAGCTTTCGCGTCACACGTGAAGGCTATTCCCATCTGAGTGACACAGAATGGGAGTTAGTCGGCAGCAAGAGTGTGCTCATGGGCGAGCCCGCCATCAGTGGTATGATGGAGTCTCTTACCAGAGACCAGCAACATGCTGCTATCAACAAGTTCCTACAAGGGGAACTTGCCGTCGAACAACAGAAGATAGCCTTGCTACAGCAGCAAGAATCTCATCAGTCGATGGGCGGACCAACGGACATGCGTTGACCCGAAACCTTGAAGATAGATATCTCAAGGTACAAGGGAACCGATGAAGATTCTCTTTCGAGATGATTCGTCGAGTTAGACGGTGCCATCAGAGCCCTTCACATCGAGGGTGACGAGGTGCAAGTCACCTTTGCCCTGTCAAATTTGATATGACGAGCAAAGACTTGGGCCTTAGGGCTCAAGCTTCGCGACTCAAACACGTTTGAGTCGTTGGAGATCTTGAAGTCTCGGCTTAAAGAGACGTTTGAGTCGCCGAGAGCCGAGTCCAGAGCACGCTCTGCACTCTTGAGGCTCAAGCAAGGTAAGCGTGACGTGCACGCTTATGCACATCACCTGCGCTACCTTGCAAGTAGCGCTACGGAGAGCCCTGTTGATGAGCACACGCTCATCAACGTGTTCATCTACGGCCTTGTGGATGGGCCCGTGAATACCTACATGTTCCGAGAGGACTTCCATACGCTGTAAAAGGCGATAGCGTGTGCGGAACAAGAAGACTTCAGCCTGAGACAGTCTCAGGATGACTCGTCAAACTATCGTCGGACGAGACGACAGGAAACAGGAGGTCCCGAACAAATAGACCTCTGTTACATCGAGAGCTAGAAATCTCGCTCTCTGAGTCGCAAACGAACGGCAAGATCCCATCGCTGTCAGATGATTGGACACTACGCTGATGAGTGTAGTGTCCCGAGCACTGCGACACGTCCGAAGACAGGACGTGATGACCGCCGTTGACCAAGGAAAGGTCCAAGGCGTGGGTTCGGCCGTGTCGCTAAGCCGCGACAGCAAGTCGGACTGTCAAAAAAAACGGTCAGGGTCAGTAAGGGCCGTAGCACCCTGCTGATCCAGCAACGTCAAGAGAATTTGCAGGACTCTTGACTAAGATTGCTCCCAACACGCAGTCTCTGTGTGTTACTGCCCCTAGTGATGAGGTGTCTCTTATCACTTTGAAGATCGAAGAGGCAAGTGGAATGTCTCTTTGCGCCCTAGTTGACTTTAGGGCGTCGAACAGCTTTATTCGACCTAAGTCGCTAGGCGATAGTAGACACACCTGTGTTGAGCGAGAGTTCCCTCCAACGAAGACGACGGTGTGCCTTGCTACGGGCTCATCCGTGACAGTTAACAAACGTGTAGTGGGAATCCACTACACGCTAGAAGGAAAGCAGTACGATAACGACTTTATGGTACTAGATTTGGATGACAAATTTGACGTCATCCTTGGTCTGCCATGGCTTAGAAAGTACCGGTCATGGGTTAGCTGGCAGCATCTATCCGTAAAGTTTCCTGCCGTTTTTTCATCGGATGTCCATCTGATGAACGTTTTGAAGCGCCCACAAGTGTGTGGACGTAATACGAGTGAATGCGATGGCCTCACTTGTGGTACGGTCGTTAGTACGAGTACACGAGCATGGAGCCACATCTCGACTGCGGGTCGGCCCTCGCCACTGCTTGCGTGCCTAGTCCCAGGGATTACGATTGCACAAGATCAAAGTGTAGAAGGACACTGCACTGTGGAACCAGCTTCCGGCACCTGTGTAGAGACACAGGCTGCGCCGAAGGTTCACCACTCGAAGAGATCGAGTGGACTGGAGCACGGATGCACACCAAGAAGGTTGCATTCGAGAAGAGAGATTAGTGTGTTGTTCAGGATGGACAACACGTTGAAGCGAGATCGACTACCAGAGAGTCGATCGTAGAGCAAGCCCGATCGACCGAAAGAGAGTAGATCGAAGAGGACGTGACTTTGGTAGTACACCCACAGTCAGTAAACGTTTTGCAAGAAAGTTCCAGAGTTCCTGAGAGTGATAACCCCCGAGAGAGTTATGTTGAGGGTGTGGATCCCCAACCACCTACAGATGTGTTTTCTCAGGAAATGAACGAGACAGTGAATGTCTTGGTGAATGACGGATCAAGTGTAGGCGCTTATACACTTGATCTGGTTACACCTCCGAATTCATTTTTCGAGGTAGTCAAGTTGCCAAAGCTAGAATCTAAAAGATTCTTGCGAGATCTGCGTAGTGACAAGATCAATCATATCTGAGTACTCGTCACAGAGGACGAGAGCGTCGCCGATATTCGGTCGGCACAAGTGTTTACTGAGAACGAACGGGTTATCACGAGTTTATCTATGAAAGAGAGTTTCATCGATGAGAATACCCGGATTGAGCGATACACGTCTTAATCTTGAGAGTCTTTAAATACAAATTCTTTGTGTAAGATTTTGGTTGAATTCAGGAATGTTTTTTCTGAATCTGTACCATGCGAGCTGCCCAAGGACAAAGGCACTCGGCATGAGATCGAACTGAAACCCGGCTCGAAGTACTGTGTCATGAAGCAGTGGCCCACTGCCTCGTGACCAGGTCACAGTGATCGACAAATTCTTTGCCGATCGCTTAGCGGCTAATCATGTGAGTGATTTAACATCCCCACACAGCTCTCCGACCTTCTGTGTGCGAAAGGCCACAGGAGGGTGGCGGATAGTGCACGCGTTCAACAAATTGAACGCTGCAACGGTACCGGCTCAAACGCCGATCCCAGGAAAGGATGTTATCATAGATGGTATGGCAAAAATAACATCTTTCGTCCATGGATCTGATGGATGGGTTCTATCAGATCCTCATGTGCGAACGGGATATCCCGTACACAGCAGTGAGCACTACGAGTGGTATGCTCTGGGGGTGGCTAGTGATGTCACAGGGGCTAAGTAACGCCCCCGCAACGTTTAACAGATGTGTTACGAATCTGTTGCGATCGGTGCGCAACTTCGTACCTATTCCGGGCTATGGATGGAAAGAAGGACGTAGAGGTTTACATTATCCGCGTTCAGAAGGTTCTTACACTAATGCGAGAGCATAAGTTGTTCGCGAACCTCAAGAAGTGTATATTCGCAGCGAGCGAAATGCCACTTCTTGGCTGCATCGTGGGTAAAACACGGCGTACGCTCTGATCCGGAAAAGATCAAGGCGATTAGCGACTGGCATGTGCCAGTCGACGTCAAGGGACTTCGAGAGTTCCTTGGCTTGGCAGCGTATTTGCACAAATACTCGCGCAACTACGCCGAGATGACCGCACACCTGTCTTGTCTGTTAAAGAAAAACGAGAGGTGGTCATGGAGCGCTGAGTTTCAGCACTCTTTTGAAGTCACCAAGAAAAGCTTGGTGCAATCGCCTGTGTTGGCGATTGCAGATCAGGAAAGACCATTTCATGTGGTCTGTGACGCCAGCGATTTTGCAATCGGCTGCGCGATAATGCAGTACGACTCAGACGGCGTTGAGCGCGTCGTCTATTATCAATCGCGTCAGCTGTAAGCAGCTGAGAGAAACTATCCGGTGCATGACAAGGAACTCCTTGCCATGAAATATGCACTGGCCAAGTTTCGGGCCTATCTCTTAGGAGATTAGCCCTTCAGTGTTTATACCGACCATGCGTCGTTACGTACGGCCGTGAACAGTCCACACCTCACGCAACGAATATAGCGAGGTGGCTGTCTTTATTCGCGGAGTACAACTTTTCCGTCGAGTATAAACCAGGACGAATGAATGTCGTCACTGATGCTCTTTTGCGTCGGCCCAATTTAGAGCCTACTGCTCAACCCAACAGCAGGGGTGATCCTACTGTCGCGACACTAACAGTGAGTGTCCCGTCGTCGAATCTGCTCGATGACGTGCAAAAAGCACACGCAGAAGATGAGTCTCTTCTGCGGTTGATGGATTACGTATCCAATCCATGCAGCCGAGCTTTGAAAAGCTTGTCGTCTCGATACCGCTCTTCAACCAAACGTTATTCTGTCCGTGATGGACTGCTGTACTATACAGCAGTCAACGGCGACACACCTCGTGTCGTCATTCCGGCTCATAATGATTTGCGATTGCGCATCAATTATGAGTGTAACGATGCCCCAACAAGTGGACATCGCGGTAGAGAAAATACTTACCTCATGGTGAGTCATGACTTCTACTGGCCCCGCCAGTATGCGTTTGTGCGCAAATACATTCGCGCTTGCGAAGTTTGTCAACGGGTAAAGCCTAGTCCTTTATCCCGCGCATCCTTGCAGCCTCTTCCGATTCCGGCAGAGTGTTGGCAGTCCGTATCGGTGGACTTCGCCTTCGGGTTTCCCAAAGACGTTCACAAGAATACTAATATTCTTTTGTTTGTTGATGAGTTCAGCAAGATGGTACATCTTGTTGCTGTACCGGAGTAAATCGCAGCCTAGGTCTGTGCGCGTGTCTTCATCGATACTATCTTCCGACTTCACATTTTACCCCGTGAACTCGTGTCTGATAGCGACCCCCATTTCACGGCGTAGTTCTAGCAATCCGTGTTCTGTTTTGTTGGAACACGTTTGACGATGTCAACTTCTGACCATCCCGAAACAGATGGTCAAACGGAACGCGTCAAACGCGTTCTCGAAGAGATACTCCGAGGGTATGTCCACTCGTTTAAGAGCTGGAGTGAGTTTTGTCGATGGCGTAATTCGCCATCAACAACTCGGTGCACGCGTAGACAACGCATACACCGTAGTTGACAAGGATGATTCAGCAGTGAAATTTCTGCTGACTCGCGAAGCGGTTGTACGCTTCGTTCAAGACTCTATTGCAGATGCACTAGACAGACAGAAGAGAAACGCAGACAAACGTGGAAGAGCAAATGTTCTTTCATTGGATAAACGAGACCTATTTTTTCTGTCTACACTAAACTTACCGAAGCACGCAGTGACAAAAGTGGGAAGCAGTAAATTACTGCCCAGGTACATCGGTCCGTTTCGTGTGTTGCGCCGAATAGGCAATGCATACACGATTGAACTGCCCCGTAAGATGCGTACGCATCCTACTTTTTGCGCTGGACGTCTCCGCCCGTACTATCAGTACGAGCCCGTTTCGAGATGCGAAGAACACCTCCGCGGCCGAGAGCCGAGACCACCTTCGAGTGGTCCCGTTTCAACGAGCCAGTCTGGTCCACTAGCGAAGCGACCTGTTCACGCAGTTGAGCGATGTCTCGAAGAGCTACAGCCAGCTCGTCATGAAGAAAACGAGTCGAACGTTCGTTCACAAGTTGTGCGAAAGAGTCGAACGTTCGTTCTCAAGTTGTGAAAATGTGGCACGACCGACCGAACGATCGTGCCTTAGGAAATTATAATTATCCCTCACAAGATCCTAAAGCTCATAACGCCGAGTCCGCTCGTAATCTAGGTATTCTTGCAACGGTATCGTTACACGGTTTAGCTCTTGAACATCAACTTGATCCGACCTCGAGCCGGATCAGGTGTTCCCACCGCCACCACATTCTTTGGTGGACTCAAGCGGTGGTTAACACTTCCTAGTGGAGCGTATTTTGAACCACCGCAATGTGAATGGCGTCCGGACTAGTAACCTCGTCCGCTGGCGTGGCTATCCACCGGCCTGGGACAGCTGGGATCCTCGTGCTCAGCTGTTTTTTTGAGGTCCTGGGTCTCGTCGAGCAGTATGACGAGACACACCCGCTGCGTTCGAAGAAGGGCCGTCGGAAAAAAGACCCGTTCCCCCGAGCGTGAGTACAGGGATTGCAAAGTGTCAATCCCTTCGGCCATCTCAGAAGAGATGCGCGCCCTCTGGTTGGGAACATTAGGGAATTAGGCCTCCCGAGGTGCACGCTTCGAGTTGCCCAGGCAACCTGGACAAGAAACACCCCACGAGAGACAGGGTAATCCTGCCTCTCTTGACAGTCGGTGCAACCCGTATCGCGCCCCGACTGGGTCGCATTTCTTAAATCTGATGCGAGCTGCATCAAGTTTGGCGAGCCAGGCCTCACGGCAAATGCATTCGATGTTATAGATAAAGGTATTCCATCCTAGAACCAAAGCTTTGCCGTCTCGAACACGCCTACCATTGTACCACCGATATTTGAAAAACGCATCGGTGAAGAACTCTTCCTCAGCACGGACAGTTTCCGTGCTGGAATCAGATGGGCAAATCTTCCTGCAATCGAACAACGGGATTCGATCCCGTGCGGTAATCATGCCGGCCCACCGGTCCAACTCTAAGTATGGCGGCATCCATAGAGAGTCCACTTGAGGAGCGTGGCGCAGGACATTCCGGTTCCTTGCCTCTTGATTGGTGCCTGCATGAGCAGTGGCACCAGTGTTACCCGGTCCTTTGAGTCACTATGCTCGTCGTGATGTATAGGTGCATCACCACCATCCCTACGCGTCCTATCGTTGGATGGACTTGCGTGAGGCGGAGACTCATCGGAATAATCACTCGATCCGAAGATCTCGGTCATGATACTGCCGCGCTGACCAGAGCCAGTCAGCCTGGATTTTCCAGCGTCCGCCCCGGGTGATCCGGAGGCATTTGTTGCCTTTGAGCCGGATACATAATCCGACTCGCCGGAATAGATGAGCTCTATCTCAGACGTATCTTGATTACGACTCGTGGTACCCGCTGCAGACGCAACGGATGTACCTGTCGCACGTGGTGACTCACCACGTAGAGGATTCACGACAACAGGCGACGAATCGCCTGCTGCTGAGGCGTGAGAGGCACTTTCCGCGGCCGCACGCATTCGTGCAGCCGCCCTTCTTGCTGCTGCAGTAGCAGCTCGCGTGGTTTTGGAAACCATACCCTGGATTGGCAAATGAATGGGATTTGACCACCAAGTGCTCCTTTTCTAGAGTGGTCCAACGGTAGTCACCACGTTTCAATCAATTTTAATTCAATCAACGGTTGATGGACGGTTAAGGGGGGGGGTGATGTAACGGGTTAGCCCATTACATGAAATTGACACCAAACGGTGTCAATTGGTATATTGTCTAGTATGACAATTTTCTACCAATATTATCCGAGATGGATAATGTTGAAGGGATATTATCCCCTTGTGGATAATATGTATTCGCTGCTCCAAGATTGGCTGATAAAGACATATTAACCATAGATTGCCACCAATCACTGCTAGACGCGCGCGATGAGTGGTGAGCAGGTTGTCGTCATACGACGGCGTGGTTTAACATAGTTAGATAAAGATCAAAGTTAAATTGATAGCTTAACTACATTAAATACAGTTCTCTTTTTACCTTTACTTGACCAAGTCGTTCGAGTAGATTATCTTCTTCTGCACGTACTAGTGTACGTGAAGTTTCGCGGCACCCCAAACAAAGGGTGCCTTGTTACAGAGATGTAATTAAATTTGACGAATCAGCTTTCCTCTATCGCCTACTTATAAACAAGATACTGGCAACGGCCAAGGACTGCGGAAAGGAGCCAGAGAAGTATCGTATCACAGTCGTAATGTGCTGCAATATGACCGGCATCGAGAAGATGGACACTCCTTGTCATAGGCAAGTTGATGCAATCACGAGCATTTCGCAAGGCCAACTCCAAGAAAATGATGTCAATGTACTTTAAATGCCAGACTGCGTAGAAAAATAGGTCAACATTTGCTGAGTGGCTCCTGCATCTCGGTGCCAAGATGCACGATAGACGAGTGCATCTCCTAGTGGACAACACGTCGTGTCGCTAAAAGCTACAGCGTCAAGCTGGCATTACATAGCCAGCACGTTTGAAACTGGTAGAAGTAGGTAAGTTTATATGGACGTTCTCTTGACCAGCATTTATCACGTTTTGTTCTGATAGGAATTTTACGGTCATATAAAGTCCGGTCTCAAAAATGTTTTGCTCGAATGCGCCTGGATGCAATTCACACCACGATTTACAGAAAGTCGGAATTACTGGGGCCTGTGCGCTTCGCTATATCGAGCTGAAGGTATACGAGGAAGTAATTCGCAACTGCTTAATTAAGTGCGTTATGGTGGGGTTGGTGATGGTGGCCGATCTCACCCAACTGCGCGACTACAACAAACGCTTGGATCGATCGGTTGAGAAAGAGCTGACCAATCTAATGGAAGGTTTGAATTGCAGCGTCATTGTTGGCAAGAACATCGTACAGGATGACGACGATCAGATAGATTGCGACTCAGACGTGATAGAGCATGAGGCGATTGAGAACGACAATGATGGTGAAAGAGCCGATGAGGTGACGATTGGGCTACCCGAGGCTTTAATTATTGTCTCCGTTTATCATTGTTCCTTTTGATACAGCACGACGGTGACGGATTATACCAAGAAGCTCGCAAGTATTACCGAGCACGTTAAAAAGCAGTACCTGATGCGAAAGACTCAGTGTACGGTGTATGCATTTCTTAAAATGGGTTTAGATTAACCCTCTACATAACAGCTTTTATATTAGGATCGAGTCAAACACGCCCACATTTTGGTCCTCTACAAATAGGGGGAGACTGTAACTATGAATGAGATGGGCTAGATCGCACCTTGAACGAGCAAACTACGCTTAGCCGCGGAATTTATAGACATACACTCACACAGATAAGTACTAATTAGAGTTCGGCATTCAGCCATGCGAACACTCACTGATAGACTCCTTCGGGCTCGCGAAAAATGTACTTACTAAGATGGGGCAACTAGATTCAAATAATGGAAACTTAAGATATAGTCCCGTTTCCAATAGGCGTACAAATTCCCATTTACACCTCGCAATGTAGAGGCGCAAGATATTGCGATAGAAGGGTCTGTATCTATTTTCTACACATACCTTATTTTTAGAGATAGTATAGTTTACCGCACAATCCTGCTAATTACAGTACCCTTGATTATATGCCTAATAAAGAGATGATAAAATTGCAACAATTCCGCTGGTTCCGACCGCACAGCCATATTTCGAATTTTAGTAAAGCAGATTAGATAATCCACCACACGTTAATTTTTGCTTTCAAACATTGATGGAGAAGCAGAACCCTTGTAGTCATCAGACGATCTGTTGTTTAAGATCAAGCGACAGGGGCATCCTTTGCTGACGAGAAAGCGCTATGAGACCAAAAAAAGCGTTTCAAAGTGACAAACAACACAGGTATCTGGATACAGTGATAAGGGCTGGTACGTTGTCAAATAAAGTGGATGCACTCTTGACCACATCGGAATCCTTTCGGCTACACTCGCTGATTACTATCCATTTTTATTGTGGAGTATGTACAAAACATCGCATGCCGAGCGTCCACAAGCGATTAAATTATTCACATGTTTGCAATTACGATACGAGGACAAAGAAAATACGGCTCTACACGTCGCCACCTATGCGCACAAAAGTAATGGGTTTCTCTCGATTAAAATACTGATTGTGGAGCGGAGCATCGGGTCTTGAACTGTCAAATTACAAGTTGATACATGTTCCCATAATAACCAATGAACAGTATTTTAATTATGCACTACAATGTTACCTTTTTAAGATATAAATTTAGACACATGATGTCTTTACCAACTATCATAAACAAACTGGTATTTAACGCACGTAATGTACCATGTAACGGACTACCCCGATACATCACCCCCAACCATTAGTAACATTAGTGGCTAAATGATGATTAAGAGACTCCACTTTTGAGCCTGGGGCAGGGAAGCACTTTTTGGTCAATTGTAACCATTCATCGATCACATCAAATTTTTTACAAGTCCATGCCTTGCGCGGACTAAATTTCTGGGAGTGCTACAATGAAACTTTCTTCCACAGCTGCAATAGAGACAAAGAAAGCGAATGCAGCAGGGTACAAATTGTCTGCTGCTTACGCAGACAGCCTGCAGAACTTACTTCCGCAGTCCATCCTGCATTAGTTGCTTCTTTGGGCTCACGCGGTGCACCACCGCGTTACGTTGTGGATTATGAGCTTAAGCTCATTTACTTCGGAGAGTTGGGTGGTTACACCTACTCAGAGAATAAATAGCTGAGAAGGAGCCAGAAGTGACTAAGTCTTCATTAAGATAACGCAGTGATTCGTCATGATCAATGCGATGGTGCTGGTCATGGTGTGGGTACTTCTTTTGAAACCATGCAGTGGGCGAGGGATCGCGATATATTGCAAGTTGCTTCTAAAAAAGGCGTGACTGCCTACTCAGCTAGTGTTGGGTCGACTAACCCACTTGTTAAGAGATTGTTATCGAAGGAGACGACTCGATTCATCTAGACTTCATGGCCTTGAATCTCGTGCGAGTGACATTCGCACTGAGCATAGTTTCTACATCGTTGTGTTCTTCAAACATCGATGGTAAAGAATCATCACCTTGATGATGCATCGCTGATCCAGGCATGGAAAACGTTCGTTCACAACATTGGGGGGGATTGGACGTGATGTCTGGCTTGACAAGATAACATTATCGCGCAATAAGTTTGAAAAGCAGACATCTAACGGTGCACGTTAAAAATTGTATCGGTTATCGAGGGAGGCAGGGCTAACATGCCTCTCCTGAACTGCCCCTTGACAAGTTGTCGGATGAATTTGACACAAGCTTTAACTTGACACATTTCTACGAACAAACAACCCATTGTAAAGGGCTTGAATGTTGTTGATGATGTATGATGATACGGCTAATTTGCAATCCCTCTACAAAAGCGCTAGGCGTTCGTTCTACGATGGGCCTTCTTCAGCATCGGATGTGCCTTTTCAAACCTCTTGACAAGGCCTTACACAAATACCTCAAATGCAAGCGAGGCTCCCGACTATCTGCTGAGAGTGGATAGCCGCGCCATTGGACGAGGTATCTCGTTCGACATTCTTTTACATCGCGGTGGTTTAACAGGTGTACTACAAGAAAGCGTTGACCGACGTGAGTATTAATGAATGCATGAGATGGAGGAGGGAACACATTCGTGTACAGATTTGCAGATCCAAACTGATGCTTGATTTAGCATTACAACGTAACGTGTAAGTTGCACGAGGATCTCGAACACGAGAGAGGCAGGCATCTTAATTTTTTTAACTACATGAACCGTCTGATCTTGGAGAAGGAGAAGTACGAATTTGAGTTTAACTTTGCGCATCTAGAGAGCGAGCGAAAACAACGTTATCTTTGTGACGGGCTGTTGGATAATCACCAGGATATTTCTTAGTGTCACGGGGAGGTATCCGAGCTTCAGACGCGGCTGAGAGTCAGCATCGCTAGCACAAGTATCGGTCGGAGATGTTTGAGCGCAAAGGATTTCTTTACCAGAAGAAGCCCCATACTGGTAGTACGGCCTGAGGCGACGAACGTAGAACGTAGGATGCGTGCGCATTTTGCGTTGCAGCTCGATCGTATATGTGGTGCTTAGGCGGAGCAACACACAAAATGAACTGATAAACCTGGAAGCAATTTTCTACTACCCCGTTAGTCACTGTGTGTAGAGGTAAGTTTACCGTAGATAGTAGGGCTAAGTCACCCTTGTCGAATAAAAATAATTTTTCCCTTTCAGTCTTGTCAGGGTCTCGTTTCTTTTCTATCTAACGCCTCTGCAATAGAGTCTTGTACGAAATTGACCACAGTTTCACGGCCATTATAAATTTATCTACTCCCTGTCTTTTGATACATTGATCTTGAAGTGTACTGCAGCGCGATCATTTGTTGCCTCAGTGAGCGTGTCTTCGGATTGAGGTTCGACCGATAGATTCTTTCCCTTCTTTAACTAATGTCACATTTTGAAAAGGCGGGCTAATGCGGATGGCTATATATCCATCCACAAAG